CTCAATTTCATCCACAAATTATCTAGCCTTGAATTGATTTGGGAAGACAATTCATGATAATAACCAGTAACACTAAATTTATAAATTCTCTGGAATATGCTAGACTCCTGACTCCTGTTTTCCCCCTAGAAAAGAATGAATAGAGGCAATTATGGAACCCAAGGTACAAAATAGGGAAAAAATAATAGTTCAATCACCCACTAGGTTATAACTGGCCTGCCTAAGCACAATTCTTATATTGGATTTCTGTGGCGAAATAAAAATAGCATACGACTTAGAATCAATAGGCTCAGGGTTTACGCCCTATCTCCCTACATTTAAAATCCTTACTATCCATGTGACTTTTTGCTTATTTTTAATGGTACCAAAAATTGAAACCAGGGCTTCCCACTTGCTAGGCAAGCACCCTGCCACTGAGCTATATCCCCAGTGCTTTTTTAAAAAAATATATTTTTTAGTTGTTGATGGACCTTTATTTTTTATTTATTTATACGTGGTGCTGAGAATCAAACCCAGTGTCTCACATATGCTAGGCAAGGGGTCTACCACAGGGCCACAACCCCAGTCCTCATCCCCAGTGCTTTAAAAAATTTGAGACAGTGTCTTGCTAAATTACCCATGCAAGCCTCAAACTTGCAGTACTCTTGCCTCAACCTCCCAAATAGTTGGGATTACAAGACTGCACCACCCCGCCCAACTGTCCCTGACTGATTTACTTTCCTTCCAGGACCCTTTTGAAATCAAGGGTCCTCAGCTCCAAGCATTTCTTATAATTTATTTTTTCACTCTTTAAAACACACATATCCATACCTATTTTTGTATTTGAAGCTGAGACATAACTTCTTTCCTTTAATTCATACATTTTCATATGTTTAGTAAAAACTGATCTCAGATTTTCAGTAGAAACTGTAAGATGCACACAACCACCAAACTGTCATTGAGCAATCTGTTATGGTTTGGTTCTAAAAATGTACACTGAAGAACTCGTGTGTTAGGCAATGCAGCAATGTTCAGACATGAAAAGACTGAATTATAGCCAGGCGTAGTGGTGCATGCCTGTAATCCTAGCAGCTTGGGAGGCTGAGGCAGGAGGATAGAGTTCAAAGCCAGCCTCAGCAAAAGCAAGGTGCTAAGCAACCCAGTGAGACCCTGTCTCTACATTTAAAAAAAAAAAAAAAAGATGAATTACAAGAGCTATAACCTCATCAGTGAATTAATTCATTTGATTATAAATCTGAATGGGCTACTGTGTGGTGGTAACTAGGTAGGTAAGGTGTGGCTACAGGAAGTAGGTCACTGTGGGCATGGCCTTGTTCCTGGCTCTTCTCCTCTCTCCTACTCCCCTCTCCCCTCCTTCTCTCTCTCCTCCTCCTCCTCCTTCTTCTCTCCCCCAACCCCTCCCTGCCTTGTCTCCCCATTTTTCCTGGCTGCCATAAGCTGAGCAGCTTTTCTCTGCCATGCCTTTCCACCATGTTCCGTCTCACCTCAGGCTCAGAAGAATGGAATCAGCTGACCACGGGCTGATCTTCTGAAACCAGGAGCCTGAAATAAATTTTCCCCCTATAAGTTGTTCTTGTCAGGTATTTTGGTCATAACAAAAGGCTAACACACAAATATAATACCCAACAGACCATCTAGAATGCTGTAACCTCCTTTGAAACTCAGTCATCCAGGCTTGCTCATTCTCCATTTCTCTTTTCTTGTCTCTCTCCCTCATTCACACACACAATCTTTTGCAGTGCTAGGAAGTAGACCCAGGGCCTCATGCCTTCTAGGCAATTGATCTACCCTGGACATGTTTGTTTGTAAAATGAAAATTCCACCACTCACATCTAAAGATAGTTGACAATATGTATGAGAATGAATCATATACCACACATAAGATTTTACTTCCAAAAAAGAAAAAGAAATTAATCACAAAGCAATCTCTTTTTATCCTGTTTTAAAATCTTATGGCCAGTTGGTCATACTACACATCAAAGAATTGTAATAACAATGTATGCATTTGTATGTGTGATATACACATACTGATTAGAGAGATTATATACATATAAGATAAACACGGTCATCCCCTCAGTATCCACGGACAATTGGTTTTAGGATCCCTCCGATAACAAAATCTGAGGATACTCAAGCCCCTTATATAAAATAAAATGGTACAGTATTTACATATAACTTACATACATTTTTCTGAGTACTTTAGAAATCACTTATAATACCTAATACAAAATAGTTGTTACAGTATATTTATTATTTAGGGAATATTGACCAAAAAATCCCGCCACAGACGCAGTTTTTTGAATGTGTCTGTTCCACAGATGGTTGGTTGAATGTGAGGATATAAACCTATGGAAATGAAGGGTCAACTGTATATAGGCATTATATATGGCTGATAGATAAGTATATAATCACCCTACTAGTAAAATAAATGCTATGAAATGTAAAATATACTACATAAATAATTACTTCCCTCCCTTCATTAGTAACTACAGTTAAATGTTTACCAAGTAACATAGTCAAAGGCAAAAATAGTGAAGGTCTAGATTAGATAATTCCAACTATCCTGAAAGAGCCTTTCACAATGTAAATTTATCAGATTATGAAACAGCTCAGACTAAAACTGTGTGAACCTCTGAAACCAAATAATCCCAAGAGATAAAATTAAAGAATGGAGCTGGTATCATCAGCAGGTAGTATATGCATGACTTTCCATGTACTTTCCACAGATTTCACAATAAAAGTCTACACTCAGATCCACAAGGCCTTACATATTCTACCAGTTACCTTCACTCTCAACCACTTGTTCTCTCTTCACACTCTTCCTTCCAGACACTGATCTGTTTTGAACACATGGATAGGTTCAACCTTAGAACCTTTGAAGCTACTTATTCTGCCTAGCATACTCTTTATCATGGCATGTAAGTGGCTAGCTTCCTCACTTCAAAATCTTTAACTTCTTGGTTCAGTCTTTCTTGGAGTTACCCAATTTAATTTTCAATCCTTCCTCAATGACACTGGCTAGTTTTCAGCTTATCCTGTCTTCACTCCTTGCTACTTATCCTTAAAAGAATACATACGTAGCTTGTCTTGTTTCTCTCCCCTAGTATTAAAACTTCATGAGAGTAGGGACATTTGTTTTGTTCAATGCCATATTCCTACCACATAAAAAAGCATCTGGCACAATAGGTACCTGGCAAATGTAACAAATTAACAGCCAGGTGATTACCTATTGCTGCTTAAGAAATCACCCTAATACTAATGGCTTAAATCATTTTTACTGCCCCTCAGTTCTGGGAGTTTACTGGGCTCAGCTAGGTGGTTCTTCTCAGGGTCTCTCATGCAATTCCAGATGGGTCTGGAATCACCTGGAAAGCTCACATCTGGTGCTTAGGTTGGGAAGATCACAAATTGGGGATGAAACCTCTATTTTTATATGGACTCTTCATGAGGTCACTCCAGTGTGTGAATTCAAGGATTTATGTGGAGGCTTAGGGCTATAAAGTAAATCTCGAGAGGACACTGAGGAAATTTTATCACATTTAATATGCAAGCCTCAAATATTATGGCTCTGCCATGGCTATTCCGTATTAGTCAAAGCAGTCATAAAGGCACATTCAGGTTCAACAGGACATACTTTAACTTTTTTTGCTTTTTTTTTTTTTTAATAGTGAAGTTTCTAGAAAAGCATGTGGAGTGGAAATTTATAGTTTTTTTTTTTTTTGTACATTTCAATCTATCACACCAAGAAACAAACAAACAAAAATGAATCTATACAGTTAAAAGTCAATGTCTAGCAAAGAAGTAAGGAAATGAGGTGGACCTGTGAGCAGGCAACAGGTGATGGCCTCCACAGATAAGGAGATACTGATAGGGACTGAACTAAGCACACAAGAATCTGAGCTCCAGGAAAACTTAACTGTCAATAGCTACAGGTTTAGTAAACAAAAGTTAACATCATCAAGAATCACCAACAAGAATTTACAAGAGTAAAAAATCTGAATTCTAGTTTTGACACCAACTTTGTAACCTAGGAAGATAACTTACAGCTAGCACTGACTAGTTTTTAGTTTTATCTATAAAGCATTATCCTAGCATTCCCAAAGCAAAGGAGGCATGTTTCTTCATTATGGCTTTCTCTTTTCCTTACCACAGTAAGACCAAAAATGGCTTTAACTCTCCTTCTGTGAATTGTTAATATACTTACATGCTTTCAGGTTTGGAAGATACACATAAAATTTCCAAATGATAGTACAAATACTTTCCTATATTGCTAAAAGTTTTAACAAGTATTTTTCAAATCAATACACTATACTTAAACTGTATTAAATCTTATTTGTTGGGCTTTTAGTTAACTAATATCCTCTCATTTATAATTAGACAATGTTGATATTGCAAATTTGCGAATAAGCTCAACTAAGCTTCATTTACAGATCTTAACAACTACTAATGTCTTTGATCTTTTTTCAAGTTTGGTCTTTCCAAGCTGATTTAAAAAAAAAAAAATCTTATGGTCAGGCATGGCACACATTTATAATCCTAGCAACTTGGGAAGCTGAGGCAGGAGGATCCCAAGTTTTAAGCCAGCATGAGCAATTTAGCAGGACCATGTTTAAAAACAAAAAACTAAAAAAGGTTAGAGGTGTTTGGCTATAGTGTACCCTTGGTTCAATTCCTGGTACCACCCAAAGTCTTGTTGCTGCTACTCACCTACAGGCTTTTAGCTAGAAAGGAGTCTTTTCTGGATTGGAAATGAGCCCAAACCTAAGTAACAATACATTTCCTCCTAATAATCTCCCAATCTTCTTTCTTCTCCTACAGAATTAATGTATTCATAAAAATGTGCATAACACTGGATCCTTCTATTTTATAACATATATATATATACATATAAATTTTATAACCTGCAGCTTAAATCAATATTAGTCTTATGTGAAGCTATAGTTTAAGTCTCTTTCATTTGTCACTTTACCAGGCATAATAATAATTTCATTTATCTTCAGCCCTTGGATTGTCTCAGGATGTTGCAGGCGCAACTTTCATGGCAGCGGGTAGCTCAGCTCCTGAATTAGTTACTGCTTTCCTAGGTAAATATTGCTCCTAAGATTTTTTGCTAGCTCAGCGTGATTTTATTCCTTTTAAGTTAACACTAACGTACACAATCTTGTTCGTAGGTGTATTTATCACAAAGGGTGATATTGGCATTAGTACTATTCTTGGATCTGCAATTTATAATCTCCTTGGCATCTGTGCAGCCTGTGGCTTGCTATCTAATGTGGTATGTAAGAAAACTTTATTCAATAAAATTGTCTTGACAAGTTCTAAAAACAAGTTTATTGTCTAGGATGAACAACAAGGCAATAGTAATGCATTCAATCAAATGTATTAATCAGTAGAAAAACATTTATTCAATTTAGTTAACCCACAAATAGCTCTTGCTCAAATTTATGAAAGTCAGTGTAGGTTTAGAAACAATTTTCCTTTAAAATTCCTTTCTCTCTAAGCAATATGCAAAAGGTAACAATATTTTACTACAAATAAACAAACAGCTTTAGTTTTATACTAAGCATTATAATTGAATTACTTACACCATAATGGAAACAGTAAATCAAACTATCATTTTACAGGTTTCAACGCTATCATGTTGGCCCCTTTTCAGAGACTGTGCAGCATATGCAATTAGTGTAGCAGCAGTTTTTGGCATAATATTTGACAACCAAGTTTACTGGTAAGCTTGAAATAATTGTTACTCTTAAGTAAAACATAATTACAAAGAGAACTTCATGAAATCTGATGCTTCAGTAATATTTTTTTAGAAATGTCATGTCAGTCACTTCTCATTTATCTGCTACTTCTACACTATTTTCCAATGAGTCTCTGGGCTAATTTCCTCATCACAACTGCTGATGGGTTCTCCTCACTATTTTGCAACTTCTTTTTGGTCACATCATAACCTCCCTGTTTCACTCACTAGTCACTGAAGACCACCACTCTTTGTTCTTCCCATTGGCTGATGTTCATTAATCACCTCAAGTTTTGTTGTCTGAAAAAAAGCCCCAACTTTTGGCTTTTTCTTCTACTAGGTTATTGCTTTAGTAAGAATTGGTCATGGTCACAACAGATTGGAGAAAGATGATAGAAAAAAATTTCTGTATTCCTTCAAATTTCTCTCCAATGTTCATTTAGCCTTCTTCCTTCAAGAACCAACCATGTTTAGGTGTCAATATTAAAAATTATTTGTTTCCCTATAATCTCTCTATGCCTAGCTGGTACAAGAAAATGGGGGGAAAAGACAGCTAAAAACTTTTTCAAATAAGCACCAGGCATCTACTAGGTATTTATTATTATGCTAGGCATCATAAAAGAAATGTAAAACACATGGCCACACATGTACACTGTGTAACTCCCAGAAAGCACAAGAAAAAATACAAAACAAGGTGAATGGTACTCCTCTGGAGTACTCAATTTAGCAGCAGTACATGATATCTGCTATCAAGAAACTTAAAAATCTAATAGGGAAGAGAATTTCCAAGTTAATCATCCTGATATCTGTCGCTCTCCCAAAGACAGCTAGTATAATAACATCCTCTGGAATTCAGCAGTTTTCTTCAAGGGACAGGGACTGTGAAACTATCCAAGCTAAGGAGTATTCCCTCCTTTAGGGATACCAGGAACTCTGTTCCTTCAGTTGTAGCAAAGAGATTCACTGTCTACAAAATAATAAAAAGTAAATGCAAGGTTCAAGTGTGATGGCATTAGTAATTACATTTAAGCAGGAAACAGTACTTATTTTTAGAGACTATATTTTCTTGTGAGTATAAGCCAAATTCACCCCCCTGCCCCCCCCAAAATTTCTGCATAACAAATTGAAAAGCCCCAGCCAAAGTTCCTATGCCAGAAAATTTAATTTGGGACATTTCAAATAAATTAACAAATGTTATATTCTTTTATAATTACTATATATTTGAGGGAAACATACTGTCAATGAACTGAGGTGGAAAATGCTCAGTATTCGTTAGTTTTATTCTGAAACTCTCCAGTGATAATTTTCAAGGCACTTTTTAGGCCTAACATTTGGAAGGAATCTATAAATGTAGAAAATGGATTTACACTCCTTTTTAAATACAGAAAAGTATCAAGAATTTTATCCATGAATTTATAACACTCTAACCAAGTTTGGAAAAATCTACAAAAATATATCTAGTATCTGTGATTGTTCTTAGGCTGCTTTTGTTAGAAAATTGTCAAAAGATACTGACCAAAAGTTATTAGCTCTAAAATGACTTCTTTTAATTTAAAAGTACAAATTTCTCCTCTTTAATTTATAGGTATGAAGGAACTTTACTACTTTTGATATATGGATTATATGTTTTGGTCCTGTGTTTCGACATTAAAATTAGCCAATATATTATAAAGAAATGCAGTCGCTGTACTTGTCTTGCCAACGCTCTAGAAGAGAGAAGTGAACAACAGACACTGATGGAATGGGAAGATGAGGGCCAACTGTTCATTCATCAGCAATCAAGAACTGATAGTGGAATATTTCATGAAGATTCTGGTTATTCCCAGCTTTCTATAAGTTTACATGGACTTAGTCAGGTTTCTGAAGGTAATAACTACATTCTGCTCACTAGTAAATCTTTCCACTAGAAAAATCTAAGAATTTCATTTTAATTTAGCAAGTATTATGTACTTGTTATATAAAAGACATTGGAGATTCAAAGAATATGAAAAGAAAGTCCCAGCCTTAGGGAGGTTCCATTATTAAATAACAAACAATCTCTCCACCAAAAAAGCTAAAACATGAAGGAATAAATACCACAAAGAGATAAAAATAACCACGGTTCATAAATTGGACAGACTGTATAAAATTCAGTGAAGCTAGATAGGAAATTAACACAAAGTATAAAAGCATTTAAATTGCTTGTGGGACAAGTAAGATTTTTTAACTCAATGACTTGATGTTATAACCAGAATTAATAACTACTAAAACCTTTATTACATAAGTGATGTAGAGATAAGTAATGTATATTCTATGAACTGAGGCCAAGGAAACAACATTAGTAAAAGGCCTGATTGAGTACTAACATAAATGGAGCCGAGTCAGTAAATGCACAGTAAGGAAGCAGAGGAAAGGTGGGTAGAAAGGTATGGGGTAGGATGAAGAATGGGGTAGGAAGAGTTTTACATGCTAGTGTAAGCATTGTACCTTGGAAGGTTTGTGAGGTGGGAAATTATTAGAAATGTACTTTAGTAATATTATCCTGAAATAATATTCACAGAAAAACTGGTATCTGAGATATGAGACAGGGAGATCTTTGAGAGGTTATTATAACATCCTGACATGCTTAATAGATACCTACATAGAGGACAGTGAGGATGAAAGGTAATAAATGTGAGACAATGTAAAGGAATTTTAAGATTTGGCAAGGGCCAAAAAAAAAGGAACAAAGACAATTCCAAGATTTTTATCTTGACTGAGATCACTCTTTCAAAAAAAAAAAGAGGGTAATTCAGATAAAAGGGCTGGTTTGGAAGAGGGGAAAAACCACTGAGGTTTAAATGTGTCATGTGAAGCAGTTAGCAAAACATTAAGGTTGGGGGGAAAAAATACACACACACACACACACACACACACGTTTTGCTTAGTCAAAATCAGCTATGGCCACAAATTCAAGATACTGTTTAAAAAGGGGTTGTACAAAACAGATTGTAATTTTAATTAAGTGATTAAAGGGCCTATTCTAACATTTAAAAAAATACAATGTGACTTCTTCCCCTTTTTACAAAAATTAGTTTCTAGTCTTCAAGGTACAAGAAATATACACCTCTAACTTAAGTTTTATAACAAGAAACTCAAAAGAACAAGTCCAGATTCTTTTATTACATTGAAATTATATCTAATAATACCTAATGCCATATTGGTTGAAGCTTGGTAAACATTTTGAAGTTGTTTTACTAGCATTAGTTTTAATGCAGTTTGTCCCAATGAGTACATTATTTTGTAAATGCCATACAAATTTTAAACAATTCCAAAATAAAATTCTCATTTTTATCCAATATATTGTTATCCTTACCCTCCACTAACTTAAAACGAACTGACAAAAAGAACATAGTCAAATGTTAAAAGTTACACTGTAGATTATTTACTAGCTCCTTCTCTCTCTCTCCCCCCATATCTATCTATCTATCTATCTCTCTCTCTCTCTCTCTCTCTCTCTCTCTCTGCCCTTTCTTCCTAGGACTTGTGGTCAAGCTCAAATTTAATAAAATAAGTTACAAAATGGACCCAAAAACCAATTTAAAATAAGAATTAGAATATACAACTCAATAGGATTATGCTATAATTATTTTATACTCCCTAAGTAAGCATTATCATAAGGCAGGCCAGAAGCAAGATCAATATTAGAAAGAGAGGCAAATGAAATAGCAGGGATAGAAGCCAGGTTAATCCCCCCAAAAATGTCCCTGAGGACAATCCTTAATATAGGCAATCAAGAGATGTCCAATTCCCCCTTCATAAACATTGTTTCTGACATATTTAGCAAATGGTCCAGGAAATTTTGATGGATTTAAGGCCTTAAATCAAGAAATGCTGAGTATCACATCTTACACTGTCTGCCCTCAACTTTCAATTAGTTTCTTTTTGCCAGCAATATCAGTAATGAGGTATTCAAATGTTTTAAATAGCCTTTTAGAAACTGATACAGCTAATTTATTTCAATATTGCTTTCTAAATGGGCATTTCCAATGTAACTGGCCATTTGAGAAAACTCAAAATTGTTTAATTTTTCCACAACAGATCCACCAAGTGTTTTCAACATGCCTGAAGCAGACTTAAAAAGAATTTTTTGGGTATTATCCCTTCCTATTATTACATTACTTTTTCTAACAACACCAGACTGCAGAAGAAAGTTTTGGAAAAACTACTTTGTCATAACCTTTTTCATGTCTGCACTATGGATATCTGCATTTACATATATCCTGGTATGGATGGTCACAATAACTGGTATGTATCTTAAGTATAACAGCACAAGAAAATAATTTCATGTAAAAACAAATTACATAGGTTCACTTCAAGTAGTCTAGGAAGCACACTTCTTTTTCGGCAAGACTAATATTAGTGCTATTTACAGAGAGATTAAATATTAATACAACAACAAGATCATTCAGGTTTTGTGAGTTCCAGCTTATGTATCCACTATATTCTTACTACTATATAGCTTGGGGTATAGTCCAAGAAATTATCTTATAAATGAAACCAAATTCACAAGATATCTATTATGCTAATAATTAAATCACATTACAAGGAATTCACAATAAAATATATTGAATTCTATTCCATAATGAAAAATAGAATAAAGAGCCACTGTTTTGAGAAAATGATGAGTGCTATTTAACTAGATTATATTTCATTTTGCTTTTAAAAATAAAGTGACGGAAAAGAGTATAAAATAAAGTTTCATTTTAGGTTTCTACTATTTCTAGGATTAAGATTTAATTATTACTGCTCGGAAATAATCTGCTCTAGTTCCCAAATAAAGAACTGAATATAAACATAGACAAAATATTAGAAATTTCTCTTAAAAGAAAAAAAAGAAAAGTTAACCTGAATTGGCTGATAGGAAAGGTAAACAAACTATTGCCTATTTGCCAAAATCACCCAGCCTATTTTTATTAGTAAAATTTTACTGAAGGCATTCAGGCCCATTCTTTACATGTCATCTATAACTGCTTTTACACTACACTGGTGGAAATGAATAATTGCAACAGAAAACATATAGCCTGATAGTTTCAATAATTATTACTATCTGGCTCTTCCACCCCCAAAATTTGCTGACCCTGACTTTTCCAAATTAATAGACGTCTTAAAATAGTATGTTAGGAAAAAGCAAAATATTTCTTTTTCTTTTTTTAATGAAGAAAATGAAAAAGTCCAAATATCTTACATATTAAGTCTATCCAAATTTTCTCAGTCAGAACATATTTGATAATAGAAAAACAGGAAAAAAGCAAAACCAAGTAAGAGATCACAGAACAGCCCCTAAGATTATAAATAATAGTGTTATTTATGTACATATGAACTCAAGCAACACTAGTAACAAAAATTAACAACCAATTCCAATACCAAGAAAATGAACATGCAAGAAATAGGCTACTTTATAATTGTTATTTTAACTAGCATTATTGGGGGGGGGGAGGAAATACAGAAAAAATATTCTAAACTGTGTTTTCAGTTAGTTACATGTCCCTTTCTTTTTTTCATATTAACTGCCCTTTGGTTCTGTTACCCAGAACGAGCACATTCCTGAAAAAATGTTAAACTGACATCAAATATAATGAAATTATTAATGAGTTGGGACTATATGTTAGACTCAAAAACAAAAAGTTTTTGTTTTCTTCTAAGATTGTTGGACTTTCCCAAAGAAAATACCAAATTAAGGTATATGTTTAAAGTAGGACTTTTAAAATACATACATGTTTACTCATTTGTAGCTCAAATTGAGAGTTGGCTTAACTCACTATGTTAAGAAAATATTTTTAAAAAAAGAAAATTATCAGTCTCATTAGCATATATTAAGTAAACAACAACCCCAATAACAGTAAACATCTACAACTTCTATAAAAATACCAAATGGAGAACGAACATTTCTCATTGGTAAAATTGCGGCTGCTAAATATCTTTACAAATGTCATTAAAAATCTGTACTACCTGGGTTACCCAAATTACCAACCCAATTCAAATATTTTGCTAGCTAAAAACTAAGTAAATACACATTGATTCAGAAATCTAAACATGCCTATTTTGTTTTTGAACAAAGAGGAAATATCTGAAATATCTAAGAGAGTGGTTAGCTCATCTGTAAGATTTATAACTTATAATATCTATGGTGTCTTACAGGGGAAACACTAGAAATTCCAGACACAGTAATGGGCCTTACTCTATTAGCAGCAGGAACAAGCATACCAGATACAGTTGCAAGTGTGCTGGTTGCAAGAAAAGGTAAGACCTGGAAGCTGCAGTGCCCTTTCTTTAAGCTTAGCTAAATACACTTGAGTCAAGGTAATGCGGAAAATATTTATTTCTTCAGTAACATACTTTTGAAGAAAAAAAAAATTGACTCAAGGGACAAGTTTATTATATCATAGCAAATTAATTTCATTCAATCTAATTCCCCAAATGATTTAACTGAATTGTGCATTAAATGGTAATTAACTAAATTAAAATGAAAAGCAACGAGTAAGCTACATATCTTATTGAAAATGGTTTAATAAATAAAGATAATCATTATTAAATAAATGTTAAACTTAAATACTAACCCAAGAAAAATTTAAAAATACAAATTCAATTAAGACTTGCTCTAACAATTTTCCAAAACTACCAACAACAAAAAAGTATCCAGTGTTTTTTTCTTATGAAGATTATTAATAAAACAGTATTATATGCACATTTTAACAACATGCTTTTCTTTTGCAGGTAAAGGAGACATGGCTATGTCTAACATTGTAGGATCCAATGTGTTTGATATGCTATGCCTAGGTGTTCCCTGGCTTATTAAAACTGCTTTTATAAATGAATCAGCTCCTGTAGAAGTAAACAGCAAAGGACTCATTTATATAACCATTTCTCTTAACATTTCCATTATTTTTCTTTTTTTAGCAGTTCACTTTAATGGTTGGAAATTAGACAGAAGGTTGGGAGCTGTCTGCCTGTTATTATACATTGGGCTTGCTTCATTATCAGTTCTACATGAACTTGGAATTATTGGAAATAATAAAATAAGGGGCTGTGGAGATTGATTATTCTTAATAGTGTTAATGTGGAAAATGTGAATGGTGGGGGTGGTAGAGAAGGAAAAACCCATTTCTTCATTTAAGTCAAATAAAAACATCCTAAATTTCAGAATCTAAAACTTACTTAATAGTAATTCTTTATCACCACAGAAAAGCAATTTAAAACCAACCAAAATCACATCCTAATTTGTCTGAGCCCTTTCTTTTCATGAACAATTACATATTATAAAACTATGAAAAAAACATTTATCATTTACCGTACAATAAGTTGATAAAGGCTGGGGAAACTAGAACAAACACTACTATGTCATACTGAAAACAACAAGAAAATGGCTTATTTCATTAAAAACAGTATAACCATTCATTTAAACTGAATGACCAGACTTGCTGTATTTAGGAAACCCAAACTTGAGATTAACAAAAATCACAGTATATTTTTAACATTATACTGTTAAAAGCTGGTGGGAATTTTAAAAGTTCATTTTTACAGCTTTTGTAAGCATACAGTATTACTAAAAAAATGACTTTTACTAGTAGATTCAGCAAAACAGATGAAGGAATGTTCCAACCGTGGTTTGAAATTATGCATTACGATCCAAGCGAACATCAATTTCTCTACCACTGATTTTTATGCCATTCATTATTCTGCAGGCTTTTTCAGCTGATTCTGGGGAGTCAAATCTGACCGTTCCACAACCTTTTGACTTTCCATTCTCCATTTTTATTTCTGCAAACATTACATGACCTGTAAAAGAAAAGTTACAGAATTACTAGTCAGTTTAAATGGGTTCCATTTTACTATACATATTTGAAATTCCTCATAGCCAATGAAGTAATGAGTAGCGTGGCTTAAAACATTAATGTTATAAAAACAATAAAACATGAGATCATTTTGTATTATGAATATAATACAATTCATAAAGAAATTATCATATTTTATATTATGAATACAATTCATATAGAGTAATGAACATATGTATACTAATGTACATATATATTAATATATATAAAGTTGGAATTGAGATAAATTTCCTTAGGACTTAATATGTTTTATTTGTGTTAAATTCCTAGCTTCTAGTATTAACTTTATAGTAATAAAGACTAGTTAGCTTAAAATATTAACTCATCATGACCCCAAACATATATTTAATCAAAATTATCTTTAGAATAGAGTTTCTCACTGCCCAGTATCCCTAATCATCCTTCTCTTTATCTTCACTTTGCTTCTTCATCTCATGGAAATAAGAGTGAATGCTGAAAATCTAATTTCTATCAGGCCACAAAAAGCCCCACCACATCTGTTCTTTTACAGCAATACCAAAGCCATTTATTCACTAACACAGTTTGGACTCAAAAATCTTAAGAATGGCATCATATGTGTTATGGAAGCAGTTATGAAAGAGAACACTGATTAAAATTAACAAAGGTAAAAACAATGATGTTAATAACACAAAGGAGAAAGAACCTCAGAGCAGTTTCTCAAAATATAAGAAAAATCAGACATTTCACAATTGTTCCTTACACAGTTAATATGACTGCTAATTCTAAAAAGTGACATTTGAGTACAATATTAGAGTTGTAGCTCAGCATTAGAGTGCTTCCCTAGCACCCGTGGGGCACTGGGTGATCATCAGTACCATATAAAAACAAAAAAATAAAGGTGCTGTGTCCATCTACAACTAAAAATATTTTTTTAAGTGGCATTTGAAATAAATTCATATCCTTTATCCAAATACAAAGCAAACATGAAATCTGTAATTGAAACCAGAATACTAGCAAGTAAAAGGGGGAATTATTAATAAGTATACATAAATAAAAAATGTAAAGAAAGACTATATTGAGGCAAACTTGGGAGTCATGATGACCCAATCCAAACAGGTCTTAAATTTAGGATGTGACTACAATAGTATTTTCCTCCTCTCAAGATGTATATGTCAAAACAAATCAAACTAGAGGACTTCAAATATTATAGCTGGTAGGTCAGTATGAGTTAATTTTAATCTGGCAAAAAAACATACAGCCAGACATATTTAGCTCTAAAAAGGGGCAAAAATTGAAGAAGAGTAAAGGTTTTTTGTTTTTAAAAAAAGGCCTGTCAAACACTTGCATGATCCCTTTTCAGATGAGAGAATCAATTTTTAATCTTAATACATGGTTAAGACTATTTTCTTGTTGAAATCTTGATCTGAATTATCTCCTATCTGTAGCACCCTGAATTACTTTTTTACTTTTGTTGTGTTTTTTTTTCCTACCCCATATTATTGCATTTCCTTTTAAAACCACTAGTTGTCAGTTGCTCATCTTCTTGGCACTAATTAAATGGTCTATGAAGATAAATATGTAACAAATGATAATTGTTACACGAAGCTAAAACCATAACACAGGTCAGATAATTCTTAATGTGCCCTCAAAGTTTTGATAAAACAAAACTACTATCTAGAGAAATCATGTTTAAATGGTTAAAGTAGATCCAAATAATATTTAGTGCACAACTGATAACATGAAAAAAAAAATTAATTAAAAAATAGTAACCACACTTTTTAGTAAACACAAAATTAAACTGGGAGATAGATAAATGTAATAGATATATGTATACATCTACATATATATATACACACACATAAATTGAAATAAACATATATCTACATATATATGAAGATCTCTTTAAGAGGTAGTACTATTTCCACAGTCCTTATGACACCTTGAAAGCTGGTAACTGAAAAAAAGCAAGTCTAATTACAGAAGCACACCTTGGCAGTATTTTATAGTGATTTTGAAATGGATTGTAGAGAATTTAAGGGCTTTAAGATTAAAGGTTCTTCTTTATTCTAATTTTATCTAAAAATTAAGGGTTTTTCTAAGTACTTCACACAGATTTTTAAGCAACAGTAGGGTTCAATCAAGGAAGAAATCTTAAAAACTTCAAAGGAAAATGTGTCCTATTTTTTGCATAATCTGTCTCTCCATCTCCAGGACAAGACTCTTTTAAACAATTCTCTTAAACTATGTCCCTCAAGTTTAGGAACCACACAATGACCTCATAATGATCTTCAGCCTATCTAGATGACAAGACCCCTCAGCTAAGATACCTGAAATTTTTTACAGTTTGGATATTAAAGCTATATAGCATGACCCACAGATACTTGTGTCACAGTTTAGTGTATCCCCCCAAAATCCCAGTAGGATAGAAGCAGAAATGTTTGTTAAGTTTTCCAAGTTTCTTTCTACTGTTATAAAAATGCTAATTGAGGTATTTTCCAAAGAAAAAGTTAATTTCAAATAATCAATTGAAATCAGACCTAACTTTTTAAATGCTCTAAGGACTCAACAAAAATAAAACTGATACTGAGTGTAGGACAAAATAGTATGCCTAGAGAAATCAATAACACGATTAAACTCATTGCTGTTATATACAATAGTTCTAGACATTATTTATCTTACATTAAAAGAAACTTCTACTTTATTTAACCCAATCTATTAACGTCAGTATACTTTCAGAATTGCTGATAAGAGCATATCTAAATATAGATCAAATTAAAGCAGCTATAAATGAGCAAATAGTTCAACAAAATCTGAATAAATAAAGCTATAACATAACCACAGGAGAAAAAAACAAAATCAGACATTCTTCCGTAAGAAAGCATAATTACGATATAAGGGACCAAAAAAAAAAAATTGGGTGTTTCTTCACAACAAAAAAAAAGTACTTCCACCAATGAATTTTCTTTACTTATTATTATTTTTACTATTATTGGATTGTTATTACTATTATTTTACAAAATCCACTAATCATTCTGAAAAAAGTAAATGTTGTAGTCAATAAAACCTACCACAAGTCACCATTCTATGCAGTTAACCAGCACACTAATAGTAGAAATATTACACAATGAAAATCTATAGAACAAAGTTATATTTGTTTACATGGTTTCTAGAAGGAAAAATTGAGAATGAGCCTTCCCTGCATTTCAAGTCTAAAATTTTAAGATTCCTGCATCATACTGAGCCAAAGGAGCATATAAACAACAAAGGAGCAAGTTTGGAAAACTACCTATTTGACCTCATTAACTGAACAAGAACTGAAAATGTGCACAAACCAAACTAATGTGAGGTCCAACTCTAAATAGGTTAGTTAATTTATTGATACTCAACTTTCTTATGCATTTCTTTATAAATGCATGTTACATAAGGCAGGATAAAAAGAGATTTTACTACAAAATAATGTGTGTCTTACTGGCCTGTGCTCAAAAACATCACCTTTTAGGGGCTTACTGGAATTAGGAGGAAGAACTGGGAAACAGCCATTATACTTATTTATTTCTCCTCTTGTTAAATATAAGATCTGAAAACTTTTCCTGAATTATAAAAGCTGAGAAAATTATATATTGAGGGTAATACAACCCATAATATAATATTTCCTCAGCCTTTATAATTGCTCCATCAAAGAGAATTAACTACTAGAGACATTTTAATTGCAGAGGGGCTTGCCAGTAGGTTCATTTACTGGAAGATATTCTTTGGGAGAGATGCATAGAATACCACTAACCTGTTTTTCAGAAGCAAGCAAAAGTATAAACTTATTCACCCAAAGCTCAAGAAAACAACAACAAAAAAGCTGCCTTTTAATGTCAAAAAGGCCATTACTGGCTTGAGGCAAGTTAAAAGAAACTTCTCATACTACAAGAAGAAAAAGAGAAAGAACAAAAAAAAAGGATGGTTCAATTCAAACAAGACGGGTAATATCTATATTTGTCAGTATCTGTATATTTGTTTCCATATAATCATAACTTATTTTCTTTGCTATCAATACAATTTAAGGTTAAAAATAGAGAAGATGATAGGAAATTTATAAGTATGGCATCAGCTTACTATAAAATAGAAATGTCAGAAGCTTTTACAAAAGAATTGAAAATGTAAAAATCATTAGTCTTATATACAGACTAATCAAAAAAAGGGATGTAAGAATAGAGTTAAGGGCTGAGGCTATAGCTTAGTGGCAGAGTTGCTTGTCAAGCATGTGTGAGGCCCTGGGTTTGAACCTTACCACTGTATAAAAAATAAATAAACAAAAAAAAGGCATGCTGTCCATCTACAATTAAAACAAACAAAAATAACAGAGTTTAAAAAAATGAAATAAAAAATAATCATTTATAACCACTATTCTATATAAACAAAATATTGTACAAAAATTTTTCAATGTAGATTTGGATAGTTTTTCTTTTCAGGAAATGTCTTTCAATTGCTGACCTCATGTCAAAACAATGCCACTCCATCACTAAATCTGCTTTATCTATTATTGACTTAATAAGTTTTCTGAAATAATAATTAAGGTATTACTAATACCCTTGATCTATTAATGTGGTATAATAGAATAACGAAACAACTTGCAATACCGCACAGAAAATTGGTCTCATTCTTGATAAAAGGATTATGTCCAGGCTGGGGATGAGGCTCAAGCGGTAATGCGCTCGCCTGGCAGGCACGGGGCCCTGGGTTTGATCCTCAGCACCACATAAAAATAAAATAAAGATGTTGTGTCCACTGAAAACTGAAAAATAATATTAAAAATTTCTCTCTCTTCTCTCTCTTTAAAAAAAAAAAAAAAAAGATTATGTAGATCAATTTTTCCCATCCTTGTTTCTTCCTCTGTACTGTGCCACCTACAGTAATATGATTTTGCTTTTTCTAAATCCAAATCAGGCAACCTTAGGTTCAAGGATAGGAAGTGATAGGTCAAATCCTTGCCAACCCCTTTCAATTATTTTCCAAAAGGTTTACCATTATAGAAATTTATTCTGACACAAACATCGTATATACATAAATATTTAATTGAATGTATTTGAGCAAAAGTAAACATTTTTAACATATATTATGACCTTTGGTCACAGGAAGAAAAAAAAAAAATGCCACTCCAACCAGAAGCCCACCAAGAGCCCTAAAGTTTTCTGGAAGCCTTGCCTTGCTTATACCTGACATCAAAAGAACATGTGTTACCTTATATATAATCAGAGATATGATAAATTATGGTATAATGGTGTATTAAGAATTGTAATGCAAAAATAAAAATAAATTTAAAAAAATTAAAACAAAAGAACATGTGTCTATAAAGGATAAAGAACAGTCACCTCAACACTGCTCACATTTTCACTGTCATTTCTTTGCCTTGCTTTGCTCTTTATCTTATTACTCATGTCTACTGTTTAAGATGTCTTATTTGGAGTTTTTTTTGTTGTTTTGCTTTTCCTGAAAATACAAGAACAGAGATTACCTATACCTGCTGCCATTGTTCCTCATAACACTAAGGCCCTAATATGTTCATGTCACTGTGGTCTATAGGATTCATGGCCAGATGCTACTTACTCATTCTGATAAATGTACTTACTCCTAAAAACTATGAACACCTTGAAAGAACTTTACTATTTTTCTTTCTCTTGGCTGTATTTACTAGTTGATTTGTTCTTAACAACTTTTTTATGAAAATAAATATTAAGTTTCCCATCCATAAATTTTAAATTAGTCCAAAATAAAAGGACAACTAACAAAGGGAGCCAACCGAACATCCTAAACAATTCACACTGTATGTTCTGAGGACTGGGGTATCTGACTTTGTTCACCTTCAAAGTGCCTAGCAGACTGCCAAAAATATAATATTTTCAGGCTTAAAGAGTGAATGAATAAATAATTAATAAATGAAAGATCTTCTCAGAATGCTTATCTTATAAAACATTTCATAAACTCTTAATATATGTACAGAGGCAATGAAAGGTGCTAGGATAAAAAGACAGTTCTTGCCCTCAAGATCTCCATCTACAATGGAAGAAAATGTGAACAAACAATAAAAGCTGTAAAAAGTTAGATGAAGAATCCAGTAGATACTATTATCTCTGAAAGTAGCTCACAAAGGCTATTTTTATGGAAGAACACTAAACTTGTCCCTTTGTGGCCTTAAAAAAATTAAAGATATATTCCAAATATTTAGCCCTTTTCATCATTACTTGCTACCTACATATCTTACTATTAGGAGTATATATTCTGGGATTCCATGTAACATCAGGAAATCTATTTCTTTGTGCCAATTGCACTAATTCGTTCATCATAATTTACAAAAAAAAAAATGATAATTTTATCAAATAAAATTTGATAGCAAAAATAAGTATGGTATATAAAAGGCTCTCTTTTAAAAGTAATAATCCATCTAATCTTCTACAGACTTAAGGAATACATTAAGGTTGGATAGGTAGTGTCATTATAGCCAATAATGATTTACAAAAGAGCCACCAGAACATATGGTGTTTACAGCATTACTAGCAGTGGATTCAATACTATCAGCTAAGTGTCTTGTGTCTTGTAGAAATAGTGTGTACAGAATGGCTCTCACTTATTAACTACATATCAACTGGATATCAGCATCTGAGTGGGTCATTCTGACTCTACTCTTAAAGAAGGAAATTAATACACTGCTTATTAATATATTTCATGAGGAAAAAACTTTTAATGTAAACAATGATACATTTTCAACTTTTTTTAATTTTTTTTTTTTTAGTTGTAGATGGATACACTCTATTTATTTATTTTTAGGTGGTGCTAAGGATTAAACCCAGTACCTAACACATGAGAGGCAAGCGCTCTACCACTGAGCTAAAACCCCAACCCCTATATTCAACTTTTGAAAATTGGGTAACTAAAAAAAAAAAAAAAAAAAGAAGAAGAAAAAAAAAAAAAGATTTACTGACAGGATAACAGGCTATTCTCTAAACTTCAGTATTTACCAGTAATTTTCACTTGTTTAAGTCAGAAGATAGGAAAATAATTCATTTATTTGAAATCAAGTTAGACCTGGAACATTATCCATACTATTCAGGAATAGATACTAGCTATTCATACTATTCAGGAATAGATACTAGGTCAAGTAAAGGACTTAATACAATGTTCAAAAATTTCAAAACAATTTTTTCCTTCACAATAAATTAAACATATCTACGTCATTAGCATACTTACCACACTGACTGAATTTCTCTTTGAGTTTCTGCCAAGTCAAGTCAAAAGGCAGCTAGAATGAAAAGAGGTATTAGTAACACATATACAGGGGAAAAAAGAATTTTAAGTATCCTTTACCATTTATTTGCTTACATTTCTGACAAATATCTGGTTGCCTTTGGAGCCTATTCTGTCTCTCATTCCGCTTCCCATTGGCCCCGATAAAAATCCTCGATCCATATCGATGCTCCTTTCCAGTATAGCTCCTATACCTGGTCCCATTCTATCAAAGCTGGAACTCATGCGGTCTAGTCCCATCCCCATTCCTCCAGTCACACTGTTCATGCCACCCATTCCACCACCTGGATTTTCAAGAAGGGCAGGGGTATTTTAAGAGTTTTGTGTTTTTGTTTCAAAAACAAAAGCAGGAGGAGAAAGGAAGGGAAAAGGAGAGAATCATTTATGAGTAAAAAGGGAAGAGAAAAATTCATTTACATAATTAGATAATATACAAACAAAATTATTTTCAGACAGACAATACAACAATTTTCAAAGGAATAGAATTTAACTTGGTATATATATCTGGTTAGTTGAGAAATCTTAATTCTAACTACCATATAAATACATTTACATATATCTATAAAATTATATTCTGATCATAAAAGTATCATATTATGTAAATATTCTATTGCTTTATTAGATATTATTCTTACTCCTTACTTTTACTTTCCAATCATACTAATAACAACTTAGAACAAAGATTTAAGTAGATAAGTTCAATTATTATAATTCCAGCATATGTCTTATCATACTCTCCTACATAATTTTAACTTTTTCATCTCAGTATCTTCACCTGTTTCCCATATAATCATTCTTTTAACATCAATTCAAATTTCAATATAGAAAAACTTTCAATTTCACTATTATACAAAACGTGGTGAGAACAAGAATTGGCATTGTTTCCTTTTAACCAAAGCTTGGGAATTTAGCTCCCGGTTCATCCCTTCTTCATTTTTAAGCATTGACTTTATTCACTGAATATTCTACTCATATTCATTCTTAAAACTTATCTTTTCTTTCTTGTATCTAACACATGAAAAATGTAAAAATATCACCTTCAAATTGACTACTTTTTTCAGTTAGTAGCAAGTATAAAAATCAGGGAAACAGAAGTAAAAGACTGAGATAAAAGAAGAAGGTAAAGATGTTACAATTAACAGAAAAAGGGCCAAAGCTACAAAAATGATGAAAAAAATGAATAAAACGAGAAGAAAGTACAATGAATTAAATGTATTTAGCTAACAGGTCTTTAGAATTCTCTCAGAATAGGTCTAGTAAATTGTATTTTCTGCTTGTGAAATTTAATCAATTAAAGAAAGTCAATAAAGTAGGGAAGGTTCAGGCAGCAACACAGTTAAAAAACTAAGCCTTTGCTGGGTGCAGTGGTACATGCCTATAATTCCAGCACTCAGGACATTGAGGTAGGAGGATCCCAATATGGAGGCTAGCCTGGGCAACTAGGTAAAACCCCCATCTCAAAAAATAAAGGTTGAGGTGTGTGTCTGTGGTAGATCAATTACCTAGCAATCACAAGGCCCTGGGGTTGGTCCCCAGCACCTAAAAAAAAAAAAAAGAAAAAAAAGTGCATGCTTTGACAGCACATAAACTAAAATTGGAACAAAACAATTAGTACGGTCCCTATGCAAAAATGACATAAAAATTTGTGAAGCATTCCATATAAAAATAAATAAATAAACAAACAACAAAAAATAAGCCATGTGCCATGTGTTAAGGCTTACTATAAGGCCTAAAATATGGTAGTTTAAACAGATGGGAGATATTCAGCATTCTCCAGTATTGTCAGAATTCTTGATTCTATCATGGGAAAAGGTTTAAGAAAAGAAGAAATAATAACTCCTTAAACCTTATCCCTCAAGTATTATGTCTGCATCTACCAAAACACACAAGATGTTTATAGATAAAATAAGGTAGTCACTAATAGCTGCTACAGAAAATAAAATGCAAACAAGGTTGTCACTAAAGCAAAAGTTGCTCCTGATACACAATCAGAGAAAAACTCATATTCCTTAGGTGGAAAGATGATTCTTGGACTGGCTTATAGTTAACACATAATCTGGTGTTAATTTGGAGACATCAAAGAAGTAAAATTTAAACAGTTAATTTACAAATTTCAAACAGTGATCAGAGAGGCTTATTATTAGCTCATTAATTATTAACGTTTCTCAAATTACAAGACACATAAACATAAGAACAAAGTATTACTATACTATAATCACAACTCTTACAAAGTCTTTGTAAGCACTCAAGTAAAATTTAAACCTACTTATTCCAGATCCTACTGGACCCATGTTAGAAGCTCCTATTCTTCCTGCAAACCCTCCAATCATTGCACTGCCTAAACAAGGATGGAAAGATAATATACTAATTAATTTAAATAATCATATTTTAAAATTCCTAAGGTACTAAGCTCTCAGAAAACACACAATAACTGAAAAGTATAAAAAATTATTTCAGAAATAGATTCTAAAATATATAAGATACTGAGAAAAGAGAGCTAGTACATTAAAATCCCTAAAGTGTTTTCTTCAGGTAATAAATTATATGGAACATTATAAACTTCTGATTTTTCACAAAAATGAAGAGAACCCCCATTTCTTAAAATATAACCTGAAAAAAGGAAAAGGAAGCATTCAGCCAGCCCTACCAAGTCTACCAAAGGAATCTCCAAAGCCTCGATTTATTCCAATATCACCACGTCCAAAATCTCGCTCCATGCTACTAGTCATCGCGCCACGGTATAGCTCTGAAAAGATTGTGCAACAAATTAACTCTTTTTCAAGTACATCAATGCATGGTAAACCATTCAGGAACATATCTAAACTAAACTGAAAAAAGCAAAAGTCATAAATACAAAATAGTCTATTATTTACCCAACTTACCTCACACACCACACATACAATCCCCATTCCTGCCATGCCTGTCCTTATCCCCTAGTGCCCATATGCCTTCTGAAGACATCTATAGCACCCATTCCTAAGTGAAGAAGGGAGGGGGGGAATTTCAATAATAAGTAAAAGTAAAATAGTATATACATCCTTCTATATATATTTACCTACCTCCCATTCGGCCAACTCCACCAAATCCTCCCATGCTATTCATTGCTTCCAGACCACCAAACCCAATTCCTATGAAATAAAGATTAATTCTAAGATTTGACTGTCAGTTATATAGCTGAAAGGTACAGTTTATAAATGTCAAGTCTCACCTATAAGCTCTTTATCCACCCTACTTTGTGTAGCTACTTCATTTAATAGATTGCCTTCTCTTAAGTATACACCTGACTCAATTTCTTCTAGCATCCTTTAGGATATGAGCCAAAAATAAATTGTGACTTTTCTTCTTAGAATTCTCAACAAAGTTTCTAGTTTCTAAAAAGTGGTGATGGGAACATGCAAAAAACAAATACTTATACATACCTCCTCCAATTCTATTCATTCCTCCAAAACCTGGACCATCCATTCCCATACCTCAAATAAAATACACAGTATGTACTTTCAGTGCATCTTATTTCTATGACTAAGAGTGACAAAATGTATTATATAGCAAAACAGATATCACTAGTCACAATGGAACACTAGGGAAGGAGCCTGATACAAAGAGATGGAAAGTGCTATGCCAGAGTAGATTATCTAATCATAGGTCTCCCAAAAGGCCTCTTTGAACAATAGACAAGAAACCAAAATTCAGTGATCACACCTACAATATTCAGTTTATTCATAAATGAGCAATCATTTACTTTTTCATAACACAGAAATATTACCATAGCTTTAGAGATCAGGTGAGGAAGTAAGGACTCCTCTAAAGAAGATAGTTAATAGAGTAAAAAAATTAAAGAATACAAATAGTGTGTATTTAAGAAGGTGAGGGTATGATAAGTCTAAGGGTAAAGGAGAAAATCTGGATCAGAATGATTATCATACCTACCCTTATAATTTAAAGTGTAATTTTATCATGTCACCAAAAGTAGGAATTTAATAGCAATTGTAAGTCCATCAAATAAAAAAGTAATAATGTAAGTATGATATGGGGACCTCCAAGGGTCCAACAGGTCAAAACCACTTCAGTCATCAAATACTGACATCATTTGATTAATTTTACTCTCATTCTCTCATGTGCATAACATAAGGTGTAAATATCTAGAGACTAGATGATATAGATCAGCAAACAATGCAGAAATAGATATAATAGCATGGCTGTCTTATACTAAGCTAAACATGCACAACAAAAATACCACTTTTCTCGCTTTTTTTTTTTTGTACTGGAAATAGTTTGTTAAATATGTGCTATATTATATTTTTTTATGTATTATACATAGTAAATGTAATCTTTAAGGTTAAGTTTACAGTCAGGGTTAATTATTGCTATTTTAAACAAATATGTAAATTTTTATAATTTCTAGGTTTTATAGTAAATATTGAGAAACATAACCACATAAACAAAATCACCTGGGGGTTTTTGACAAATTTTAAAAGCATAAAAGGGTCTGATACCAAAAAATTTGAAAACCAATCTTTAAAAACAAACAAAAGTTAGCCCAAATAAAGCAATCAAAGAGCTACCTAAAAGGCGACCTTCCTAACTAAATAAACAAATTTAAACTGCCTATAACAGCATTTCAGCCCTTGCAAAAAAAAAAAAAAAAGGATACCCAGATACCCAGAATACACACAGCACTATGTTGAGAACTCTCCTTCTGCCTTAAACATATTTCAATATCCACAGTGCTAAAAAGCTAGCTATAACATGACTGGTCCCAGAGAAGCACTCCTGAACTTTGCCTATCCTCTTGCACGTTAACTGCTCTCAAGGTCTCATTTCTTTTTCACACTGAAATGACATCCTAAATAGCTCTAGAGGAGTCCTTTAAACATTATGACAAACCAGTAAATGTAAGCCATAATATAGCAAACATATCATTTAAAAAGAAATAAAGAATACTCACCACTTGGACCTAAATTTCCCATTACACCACCTATGTTCAATTGGCTAGCACTAATAGGCTGTCCACCTGGACCAAGTCCCATTCCAATGCCTCCAAGACCACCTAAAACACAAATAAGAATATTACATGTAAGCCAGGTATAGTAGTGCACTCCTATAGTCTCAGCAGCACAGGAGGATCAGTAGTTCAAAGCTAGCCTCAGCAAAAGCAAGGTATTAAGCAACTCAGTGAGACCCTGTCTCTAAATAAAATACAAAATATGGCTGGGGATGTGGCTCAGTGGTTAAGTGCCCCTGAGTTCAATCCCTGGTACCCTACCCCCACCAAAAGAAAAGAATATTACATACATGTGTATGTGTGTGTGTGCCTGTATAAATATACATATATACACACATATGTACATACATACACACACATACACACACAATATTCAAAAACAGATATACACCTATAGTAGTATTTCTAAAATTTTGCAAATTTGTAAATAAGAGCTCTGGTTCTGTTTCATTTAGAAAACCGCATACTGAAGCCTTGACTACTATATCATTTATTCATTCATTCATTTGTTTATTTTCTGTGGTGCTAGGGATTGAACCCAGGGCCTTGATTCATGTGAGGCAAGCACTCTACCAACTGAGCTATATCCCCAGCCATGTATCATTTATTAATGAGAAATATTTTATGAACATAGGAACAACAAAATGCCATAAGAATTTTTTAATAATATCACTTTATAAATGGCATACTGAAAATGAGCATCTTGTCCAAATTTGTATAAGTACTTAAAATCTTAGCATTAAAAAAATTAAAATACCATGAAAGCAAAATATTGAATAAAGCAAATATTACCTGGTTTTATCTTCAACATAAATATTTATTTACGTGTACATGGTATTTTAGTGTTTTCACATCTATTATCCACAGACTAGCAATTTTTTAAAATTTTAAGTTACTTATCATTTTCATTTAGCAATATGATTAAGCTAAGACTAGAATTAAAGTCTTCTTTCTTTAAATCCAGGATTTTTTCTACTACATCTCTTAAAATAATTGAAAATTCACTTTATGAAGTATAATTTGATGACCTTATAAACAACAATACTAACAACATTTGGATGGGGATTGTTTTATTCCACTAAATCTTGATATGGTTTTAAAACATTCTTGCTAAGTCAAAGTAGCAATTACTAAGTCTTGGGGTCTGAGAAAACCATATGCTCTATTTAATTTTTTAAAATTAGAGTACAGAAGCATGTCATATTAAATTGTAAAGATCAAAATGAGGAAAATTATTCTTTTCTCATTCAATCCCTAAAAAATGGTCTACCTGAAATCAACAGCACATCTCACCCTCATTCAATGCCTATCCACACACCATCTTTTCATCTCTATTGTCATTCTTCACTAAAAGGAACCAGGACTTCTTAAAGACAGCCCTGTCCCATTTCTTTGGAATAAGAAAAATCAGAATGAATCTGGGAAACTGTTTTATCAAAAAGTAAAGACTACCAGAGGCTGGGGTTATGGTTCAGTGGTAGCACGCTTGCCTAGCATGCATGAGGCACTGAGTTCAATTCTCAGTACCATACACAAATTAAAAAAAAATAAATAAATAAGGTCCATCAACAACTAAAAAATATTTTTAAAAAAAGTAAGACTATCTGAGGCACGGGGAATGAGGAGGATGCCACATGCCAAGTTACAGTAATTTGAACAAAGAAAGAGTAGAAGAGAGGAAGGTAGAGACAAAACAAATCTGGAATATATCCCCCCATAATAATTAGCTTAATGAAAAGAAAGGGATTCTGTCAATATCCGAGTTCACATTATATTAATAGAAAACAGTATATAAAAATTTAAGTCCCTAAAAGAATAAATGTAATATTAAAGTATGAACACAATAGGACATTTTTGATCTAAACAAATAGAAGAATACCAAAAATGGAGAAGTGAATTGGAAGCCCTTACACAAAACAAGGATCTTAAAAGATGACACCTGACTGACTAGGTAAACTTGGGGGAAGGACTGCCATATAAAGGGATAAAGAAAGGGTAATACTCAAAAGACACGTGGCTGAGAATTGTCCAGAATTTACTTTATAAAAACTTGATGCTGTGATTGGGAAAGCCCAACAAATCCTAATCCAGACCCACAATGTCGTAAAACTGCCAACTGAAAACCAAGATCTTAAAAATCATCTCCATGAAGAGCATACATCACCCAAAAAGAAAAGATAATTCAACAGATAGCTAACTTAAGAGTAGCAATGGAAACCAGAAGACTGGAAAATTTTTTAAAGTGCTAAGGGAAAATAACTATCAATCTTAAACTATCTTAGAAGACATTTACAGGCAAATCAAAATTGAGAGAACTTAATAACAACTGATCCTCTCTGAAAGAACTTGTAAAATATACACTTCAAAGGGAAAAAGTTAGTACCAGGGTCTGTGAAAACAGAGCAATGATGAGACAAGAAAATAGGGGGAAAAATGTCTAATTTGTTGGATTAAGGGGGAAAAAAAAGAAATATAATGAAAATACTGAGCAACAATAGCATATGAAAAGTGATTACAAGTACAAAGTATTCTAAGGTTATTCCACAACTTAGAGAATAGTTAAACTAATTTCAGATTTATATAGACACATTAAAATATCTAGAATAACTACTTTTAAAAAATAGGAGAAAAATTACTTATTTGTAAAACAGAACACAAAATAAGATAATGAAAATTAATCCAAATGAACCAATAAATGTGAATAATTTAAACTATTCAATTTCATAGACCAGACTTTCAAAATAATATTTTTAAAAATCAAATCCTAAATATAATACTGCTTATAAAGGGTATAGCTAACACAGTAAATAATAAAAGAGCAAGAAAAAGATAACAAATACGAAACAAAATTGTTGTACTTACCTTAGAGGACTTAAAGGTAATTACTAAAGATAAAAATTGCTATAATGATAAATTAATTCTCTAAGAAAATATTATCAGTTCTAATCTTGGAAGGCCCTACTAAATTAGCTTCAAAACATTAAAAAAAAAAAAAAGACAACTGTCATCCTAATGAGAGAATTTTATGACAAACATCTTTCAGTAATTGCTAGCACAAGCAGACAATATTTCAAGTAAGGACTTGAAACAATTAAATTAACAAACTTGACTTAATGGACACAGAATACTGTACTTACCAATCACACCTGGAATATTTATAAAAATGTGCCACATGATAGGCCATTCATAATGTAAGTCCAAATTAATTTCAAAGAATCACAATCATATAGACCATGCTCTCTCACCACACTGAGGTTATAAATTAATAAGATTTTTTAAAAAAAGAACTCATGCATTTGGAAATTCAAAAATCTTATTTTCAAATGACTCAAGAAGTCACAGTGCACTGGACATGGTGGCAAACGCCTGTAATCTCAGCAGTTGGAGGCTGAGACAGGAAAATCGTGAGTTCAAAGCTAGCCTCAGCAAACCAAGGTGCTAAGCAACTCAGTGACACCCTGTCTCTAAATAAAATACAAAATAGGGCTGAGGAGGTGGCTCAGTGGTTGAGTGCCCCTGAGTTCGATCTTTGGCACCCCTCTCCCACAAAAGTCATAGTGCTAATTTTTAAATACTTTAAAAATTGAACTATTATAAAAATAGTCCACAGCAGAACTGGTACAATAACTAAATTTATAATTCTAACTACTTATATTAGAAAAGAGAGGCTAGAAATTACTGAATCAAGCCTTCAACTTAGTTAGGATAAAAGAATAAACCCCTAAAAATTATAAGAAAGGAAACAATAAAGCTAAAATGAAAAATTAAACATACTAAAAACTTTGCTTTTTAAAAATACTAACTAAAAATGACAAATTTCTAGTAAAACTGACACAGAAAAAGAGAAATTATAAATCTTCAGAATTCAAAAGGACCCAGAACTATGGATATAGCAAAACTTTTAAGAGGCAATTTTAGATCAATAAACTTTAAAATGGAAAAAAAAATCCCAAGAAAAATAGAAATTACCAAAACTGACTTAAGAAGAAACAGAAAATATGACCTGTAGTTAAAAAAATCTTTCCCCAAACATATATGAAGGCCAGAAAGTTTTACTCATAATTTCTAGCAAATACTAAGAACAGGTAAATCTACCAGGAAAAAAAAAAGCAAGCACTCCCCAACTCTGTTATTTCTAATCATTAAAAATTAGAATAATCTAAAAAGCAGAAAAATGTATAAAATGCAGTATTAGCAATTAAAGTGAAGACTCTAGAGCTATATCTATCAATAAAAAAAATCTCAAAAACAATTTCAAACAAAAAAAAACAGGTTTAATAATATATACAGCTGATAAAACTACCAAAAAGAAACAATATATTTTATCTTAAGTCTTCCATATCAATAGCACCAAAAATCACACTAAATTTTAAATCCAACAAAACAATTCTATGCATTATGAATGTATAAATGTGTAGACAAATTATTAAAATCTAAATGATAATCATGTCATTCCTAAGTTATTTCCTTTGGGCAAGATGTATGTTGGAAGGAAGTTAGGGAGGAGGGAGATTCTAAGCTTTAAAAAATTTTATTTAGTTTAAAAAAAAATCAAGGGCTATGGGTGTTATTCAGTGGTAGAGCACTTGCTTAGCATGTGCGATGCCCTGGATACAATCCCTAATACCACACACACACAAAGCATCTAACAGTCACAAGAATAATTTTATTGTAAATATTTTATATTAAAAACTTTAAAAATAACCATAGAAGGTGTAGTGAAAAATAAGAACAATAGTTAGTATTTATTGAGTACTTGCCTTGTGTCAAAACTATTCTAAGTGCTTTACACATATTAACTCACATGCTACTTATGCTACCCCCTGAAGAAAGTACTACAGCATTAATATCCCCATTGTTCAAGTAGGGCATTAAGACACAAGATGTTAAGTATATTACACTATTGTTTTATAATCCTTTGGAAAACAACTGGATAACAGTAATCGATGGGCATGTCTTGAACTAAACACCTATAAATCTACTTAAAAGATACCTATCTTAAGGAAGTAACCAAAAGCATATCAAAGATCTGTATACAAAAAGGCACATGTTACTCTGTTAGTTATTAAGAGAAATAAAAGCCAAAGCAGACAAAATATATAACAGTAAAGCAGTTATAGAGAATCTATATAACAGATTAACAGTCAATAAAAACATTTGGGAAGAATTTTCATGAAAAAAATGCTTATACCTTATTGTTAAACAACAAAAAAAATTATACAGTAATTTGACTATATAAAAAAATATACACAAGAAGGAAAGAGTGGAACAAAATATTTTAAAAAGGTAATATTTTTGTGGCTGAGTTAACATGGTAATATTACAGAAGAGTTTTTTTTCCTTCACATGTATAAATTTAACAAATATTTTAATATGCACTGCTTATATAGTCAGGAAACACAACCAAATAAGAAAAAAAAAAAAAAAAAAAGGACCATAACATTATATTCTGTCCTCCTAATCAATTTCACCAAACTAATCTCTAAAACTCTAAACTAATCCCAAGGGAACAATATGGATGTAGGCCCCAAAACCAAGTTTTGCTTAGTACATAATAAAACTGAAAAACAATGGAGTGTGTTGTCTCTAAATAATTCCTTTTACTTACGTGGTAATTGTGGTGTTTTACTATCATGTGAACGGTAGTCTTCATGAGGGACAGACTTGTCATCCTAATTGCAAAAAAGTTTATTATATGATTAATATATTACAAAATAAGGACTGTAATGTTGAGGATAGCAGATAAAAGATTTTAAAATGTTGAAGGTTTAAAGTGATATATAAGAACTCACCATTTTCACATGCATAGGTCTATCAAATAAAAACTGCCCATTGAACATAGCTGTTGGTTCAGTCAAGGAAAGACAGATGACTGTAAAATTATTCTTGAACACAAACTAATTATATTATTAAAGGAGTCTCCAACTAGCTCTAACGTTTTAATGTCTTTAATATTTATTCATACTAGTCTCTTCCACACAAAGAAAACTCTAATTCTTTTATTTTTATAAATAATATATTCTTTTAACTGAAAAAGAAAATAAGGCTTCATCTAAATCAACTTCATTAATGTACAATGTAGTACATAACTGTCAAAAGCATGTGTATATACATACAATTAGTTGGTAGGAAGGGAAAGCAGAAAAAAGTTCACACCAGTCCTGTACAATATGGCTAATTCAAGTTTTAAGAGTGACTTTAGTAGTTGGACATACTAAATATTTTATGAGCTGGAGACTAAAGTCTAACAAATTTCTAAGCTAAACAACCTTAAATTCCATAACCCCCACAAAACGGTATCAAGCTTCTCCAACTTCATTAAACAATGCTAAGTGTAAATCAGGATACAAATTGCTTGAACTGCTTCAATTGCTTGCTCAAAAGTGACAGTGCCCATTCCTCTGCTCTTTCCATCTTTGTCTTCTTTAATATCTGCCCGCTTTACAGTTCCAGCTATGCTGAACACTTCCTTTAGCTTCTTCCAACCAACTTTGAAGTCAAGCTTAACATAAAATTGTATAAAGTTACACACCTAATAAATCTCTTCCCCATTTATATATACAAAATAATCTTTTCTAAACTCTCCCAAACTATAAATAACTATAATTCACATTCAATAGTAGACCAATGATGTTCAAATAAAACACAAGTTGCTTAAAAATCAGTTCAGTCACATCTACATTATTCCATATTCTTATTATTTTAATTCCCAAAATTGTCTCTCAACTGCTCAATCCTGCTTTCTACATATGAAACTTGCACATCTACTTTTACCAAGAGAAATTCAGATTTGGGAATTATTGTCCATGTCACTGACTTTCAAGAGCTTAGAACAAATAAACCAACTGCGACATGCACATTCACAAATATCAAGGCCACAAGAATGAAATCCATTTACCAATATGAATAAAAAGGCATATAATTAAAGTACATAATTTCAAGAAATGCTCAAATGATTATAAATTCCACAGTTCTCTGTATAAAAAATTCTAAATTGTATTTAGACTAATCACACACATGTAGACTTAAATTGGATTTGAGCTTAAAATAATTAACTTCATTTACTTTAGTTAAAAATAAGCAAAATGTTCTATAAACCACTCATCTAATTAAACAATCTCATAAATGGAACTATGCATCTGAACAATAAAATTTTAGACTAAAACTTACATTAGCAACAAAAATTGTAGAACCAAGTCTACCAGCCTGCAAATTACTGATAACCTCAGGAGGAATGTTTGGATTATTGAGAATGGAAGGTGGTAAATTCATCAACCCCGATCCCATATCAGGGACATGTCCTCCTGGAAATGATCCTCCTGTTCGTTGCAATGCCCTACGAGCATTTTCTCCGTCAGGATCCTATAACACACATTGAATGTTAAATGCCACTAAATATATCAGTAAATCTACAGAATTAAAATAACAACTTCAAATTTGACATTAGCTAACCCTCAAATTATTGACCCTCTTGAGAAGTGAGATTTTTGTTTTGTTTTCTCATCCAGAGAACTGAGTCCCATAAAAACCTGTGGACAGACAAAAGATTTCAGTCTCCAGGAATGGCAATTAAATACCTCTTTCCAAGCACTAAAGTCACTTAAGAACTTGAAATTAGTTTAATTTTGTCCTCATTCTAGAGTACAAGTATGACATATACACATCATACACATAAATGCACATAACTCAAAGAGAAGCAAAATACTTACTATGATTCTTTTCTTTCCAAAATGCAATCATGGTGAAGTCTCACCACTGGATGACCAATGGAATGTCAAATTGACAATCCAAAACTTTCAGTAGTGGAACAGACTTACAAAACAAGACTTTCAGTAGTGTAACAGAACAAAACTCAGGGTGGGAGGGTATTATAACTGGCAAATTTCATTACTGAACAAAATACAAGTATCCACCTTCTAACCTCTTATCTTCCTCAACAACGATTATGATCTGAGACTGGAGCAAGGGAGAGGTAAAAGAAGGCTAGTATCCAGTGAAGAATGATAGAAAACTTTTCTTTAAATTCATTAATTTTATAAGAGTAATATCCCATTGTAAAACAAAACAAGAAGTTTAAAAATACTTCTCACTCATCCCTCTAGATAGGATGCAAACAATACATACCCCAAACAAACAACAACAAAAAAAAAAAAAAAAAAAAAAAAAACACATGAACACACTGATAGATAACCATCTGCAATGACAAATAATTATGTTAAACGACCATCAATTCTACTCTGCTGGCCTCACTCTGAAAATATTAATAAAAACAAAGTTGGATGACTTTAACAAATTCCCTAAGATGGCCAGAAAGTAAATGCAAGAATAAAATTTTTCTGGCTTACAATAAACTACTTCACTACTAAAAAATAAAAAAAGATTACAAAAGTAAAGACATGTTATCAAACAATGCTAATAAAATTTAAGTTAGAAAATGTTTCAGGTTTGAAGATGCAAAAATATACACAAAAACAAAACTTAAAATAGTGGTTATATGGGATAAAAAAAACAGGAAGGAAGATGCTTCTTGAACTATTACAGTTAGGTTGCTTGGGCTTAACATTAATAAAACATATGGCTATATTTTGTCTTTTATATAAAGGTGTATATATAAAACAAATCACCTACTATTTATAACTTGGTTTTTATTCCTCTTTTCCTCTTGTTGTCCTCCTGCAGATCACTAATTGCTATTGTCTACCTAATAGAGGGTCTATAAATACATTTACAACTGCAACTAATCTCTATTTAATTAAATGGAAAAAAGTAATTTTTAGATTTTTTTAAGGAGCATGGATATATACTTTTCTTGGACTTCCAATCCAGTAGTAATTCTAATCACTTACCCCAACCACCCATGGTAAATTAGATATTCCCAAAAAAGGGACTGCCTTTAGTGATTTTAATCCAAAAAAATTTAATTAAATAAATCCCCCATCACTTAGTGAGGCCAAATTTGACCATTTTTTCCTCTGAAAAATAGTTAAAAATAAAGGCATTCTACATCAACTTGGACCATATAATTCTATTTTGGGATCTGAAATATAGAGGATCTACAATATGCTAAAATTTATAAGAACACAATAATATGGTCTCACTTTAGCATGCAAAATACTCTTTTTTTTTTTTTCAATTAAAAGCAGAAGGGCTGGGGATGTGGCTCAAGCGGTAGCGCGCTCGCCTGGCATGCGTGCAGCCCGGGTTCAATCCTCAGCACCACATACAAACAAAGATGTTGTGTCTGCCAAAAAATAAATAAATAAATATTAAAAAAAAAAAAAAAAAAAAGCAGAAGACACTGAGATTCCATTATTTGTCTCCAGAGGAGATAGTGAAAAATCAAATACCAAATTGAAGAAAATTATTTAGGATGCTAACAATTCTGAAGCACTGAGACTGACTTATGCAAAAGAGCCACCAAATAAATGGCTGGCACAAACTACAAAATCTAAACCTTCTCTATCAATTGTCCACATCCCTGTCAAAAAAAAAAAAAAAAATTTAAATAATAACCCTTAGGCTTAAACAGTTTCAGAATATTGAAGCTAATTCCAATAAAGGGACATGAGATACACATATAGTTGATAGCATGGCCTTTAATTTCAATCTATGATCAAACTCAAGAACAGGAAACCAAAAACAGAAAGAAAAAAAAAAAAGAGAGAGAGAGAGAGAACAATGAGTCCTGGACAGGACTAATAACAATCATTATTTTTACAGCTAATATATATGAGATAGTTAAGTATTCTGAACACTGCATTAAGGGCTTTATATAATAGTATCACAAGTATAAGAAATAGCTAATATTAATTAAATAGTTTACATATATTAATTGTTGGAGCTAATTATTCTCAAGGTCACTTACATCTAACTAAGTAGTTTTTTAATGTATCTTTTGCTTACTCTTTCCTCAACTTATACTGCTAAATTCTATAAAAAAGAACACTTCCACTTTAGGGTTCTAGTTCAGGTTTCAATAATAGAATTATAACTCCTCTTGAATTTTAATCTCTAAATAACTTTATTAAAATGAATACCATGCTGGAACCATGGCGCACCTGTAATCCCAGTGGCTAGGGAGGCTGAGGCAGAAGGATTTTGAGTTCAAAGCCAACCTCAGCAACTTAGTGAGGCCCTAAGCAACTCAGTGAAACCCTGACTCTAAATAAAATACAAAATAGGGCTTGGGATATGGCTCAGTGGTCATTAACCCCCGAGCTGAATCCCTGTTACCAAAAAAAAAGAACAGCACAATAAGGTTGACCAAATTATGCTGTGCACATGTGTGAATGTAACACAATGAATTTCACCTTTACATATATCTATAAAGTACTAATTTATAAAAACAATAAATAGATGTGGGGAAGGCCAGTGGAGTAGAGGAAGGAGTGTTTGGAAACCAAAATGGAGCAAATTACACTGCACATATATGTGATTATGTCAAATGACTCTCACTATTATGTATATCTATAATGCACTAATAAAAACATTCTAAAGAGTGAATAACAATTTTATTCAAATCCATAATGTATGCATTATTAAGCAAGATTTCACTGTCATCTACAAAAATATCTATTCTATTTCTCAAACAACAGAATCTAAAAACTGAAAATATCTAAATCAATTAAAGTCAGCACCTAAAGTCTATCATGCTTAAATTTCTGAGTCCTTAATTCTTCTAAAATTATGCACCTCTGTAACAACTTGGAATAAATCAAATACAGGTACCTACTTAAGGGCAAAAAGAAGTCATATACAAGTAAGACTACTATTAACAGATAATGCTTTAATAAGCATCTATGCTTACATTACAAATACATTATCAAAAATGAAAATTCAAAGAAAGCATGATCCTATAGTCAAATGTTTAAATTTCAAATATAAGAAATCTTACCTCTTTAATATTAAGGGGTCTTCCACTAAGATCATATTTGTTCATAGTTTCTAGTGCTTTCTTTACAAATTCTTCATCTTTGAATTCAACAACACTTAATGGAGAAAAAAATTATAAGAAATGTTTATGTACTAAGATTTGCTTCCAATCAGAAGTTTAATTTGACTTAAGATACTTTAAAAAAAAAAAAAAATTCTTACCCACAACCCTATATCCAGGTAGATTTGTCAATATATGCAAAAGAAAAAAAGTTTTCAATCAGTAGATGAAGTTAATGGCAGATTCTAACATTTAAGTTACCAAAAATAATCAATAATACAATCACTTTTCATCTTTTTAACCACCAGGCAAGTGATCATAAATTTTCTGTAAATTTTTAAGTCTAACTATTGAAACAACAGAATACATGTAAAAACTTGGAGTACATTTTTACTTTCAGAGGACTTTTCTTAAAAGTTAAAACTAGTATCTCTGTACAAATTAATCAACAGTAATTCAAGGAACTCCAGTTTCCCATGTATATGACCTGACATAGTCACAAATATTTTCAATAGAAACACTGGGCATAATATATTTTTCAAATCTAATCACATCAAAATCGCAAATAAATAATAATTTTAGTAAAGTTCTCCATTAGATTAAAACTGGCTGTACACAATAGTAACCAGTTATAAATATTTTTTTAAAAATCACCTATGCTGAAGAGAATCATTTTTTTAAAAACAATTCCTTGTCATTACTGTTCAAAAAATTCCATTTGATTGTAATGACAAAGTTTTTATTTCTCATGTATTCAAACTGGTTTATGCTAATATAGTTAAACATTGTTAAGGGCTTTTCACTGTATTCTTCTATACATTGCACTCTTGTTGCTAAAAATCAAAATCTACTATCAACCAAATCCTTCTCTATCAATTTAATCATCAACAGCATTCATACTGATTGGCAGAACACTGCCTCTTATGTAGTCCTGCAGGCTACCAAGTTAAGCTTTTCAATAAGTTTCAAAAATACATTCTGAATTAACACCTTTTAGCTATAGGTCTCTCATAATCTCTTAAGGAATATTATCAATTCAGTGAATTTTAAAAGATCCTTGAAGACATCAAAATACAACAAAAAAAAAATCCTATATTAAAATCTTACTGGCTAGGAAGAAGCATTACCTTAAGAGCATTAGAAAAGTGAATGCCCTTTATGAGCATTTACAAAACCCATCCCTTCCAGGCAGCTAGTTTGGTTGGTACAGGTGTCAAACTTGCTAGTATAAAGCCTCAAATCTTGCATAATAAAGTAAAACAAAATGAAACTTAAGTTTCCAAAAACTGGTACAAGTATTATACAAAAAGTAAACTGCTGAGGAACTTTTACACCTCAAGCAGATATTGCCCACAGCACTTACCCTTGATTTTCCTTCCGCATCCTTAAAGAGCTCCACGTATGTAACCTCACCAACTACATAAGACATACAAAAGGAAGATACCAAGAAACAATACATTTAAACACCAATATCTTGCTTTACTGCACACCTGTGCACAACTCTACAGAAAAGCACCTATTATTCACCAACAATCAAAACCAGACCAACATACCTCCTCAAATGGCTATGTAAATTTGACTGATTTTCAGAAATGTACATCATCCACATTCTCTAAAAAAAAGCTAACAACCATATTAACCTAATTCATACTACAGATCATATTTTGGCCAGCATGATATAGTTGGTGAACAAATGCACATATACATACAAATGGCCCCTTAGCCTATCATATTAAAAAAAAAAACATCAACATTGGCACTTTTCAAATAACTTTGATCAGCCTACACACAACAGCTGTTTTAAGGTGACTTTCTACCTGAATGTCTTCAATCATGTTTGCCATCAGTAAACTAAATTTACAAGTCATGCTTCACAGCAAGCCACACACTTTCTAAATAAAGTCAATGAATAAAACCAATCAAATAGTTGTCACCTTACAACAGATAATACACCAATGCAATTTTTTTTTAATTTATTAGAAGAGATCAGCCTCAAAGCCAAGTACATAATTTGCAGGACTGTTGAAACTCAATTTTTCAAGAGATAACAGAACTATCTTTTACAAGATCAAGTATTAAAGTTATTTTTCCCCAAAACCAACCATGTATATAAGATGAAGGTTTTCAGATTATTCTGAAAACAAAACTGCAACAGCAGTAACGCAATTTTAATATAGAACTGCAAAGACAGCATCATGGCAGTCGTGACAATGCAAACAAAATGAATTCCACAGCCAGATTCCAGACTCCATCAAGATAATAACAAAACAGCTTTTGGAAAAAAAATAATCAGACCTTATTATTCATACATTAACACTCTAAATGTATTACTTAACTAATGCAATAATCCTTTAAAAATCTATAAAAACTTCAACTAGACAAAGCAATCGCTTTAACAAAATTCTTGGTGGCATGCAAATGCTGGCTCACTACTATCCCACTAAAATATCAAAAAAAAAAATACTTTTATCCATACTAGTGTGTAATGAAATTGTGTCAAGTGAAAGAAGAGGAAAAGATTAATTCATACATCAAGAAATAAAAATCAATTTTTTTGAGTCTGTGTGGCTAAGAGGAATAAAAAAGTTTTGCATAGTTTCTTCCCCTTCCTACATGAAGATCATCCAGCAGTGGGTTATTTCAGAGATAATTACCTTTTTCTCTCATTAGATCTTTAATAGCTTGCCATTTCATGTCATACGGGATGTTGCTAATGAAAACTCTGTTACGATTTGGACCCTTCTTTTCTCCAGTGCCCAAATTCTTGTCTTTTGAATAAGGATGAAATCTATTGGCCTTCTTATTTCCTGAAGATTTTTCTTTTAAGTCAGATTTTTCTTCTTTCACTGATTCATCATTCTCCCTAAGAATTTTAAAAACAAAACAAAACAAAACAAAAAACACCCTCATTTGTGCTTCTAAGAATGGAAGTCTATATTAAATAATTCATATTTATCACTTCATAAAACTTTCCACTAAGCTAGACTTTAGCAAAGCAACTAGAAAGTGAGCCTGACAGCTTTGATATTACCCAAGACTTTTCAAAGCAAGGATTTGGCATGAGGGCAACAATGATCACTCCCCCCCCACACCCCAGTAAATAGCTACAATCATTCAAATCACTCAATTTTCCCCTCTATGTACTTATACTTAATAAAGTGTTATTGGACACTGTGGTGGGGGGGGGTGATTCTACAGTATATAAAACTGCCACTTTTAATAAAAAATTAACTTTCTGTCTTCGTTAAAAACTCTAAAATTGACACTGGAAAAGTTTACCTCTTAAAGGTTAACAATTTCTTCCCATTTCACCTTCCTCTAAATGTATAGCTATGCTATATATCTACATATATACATATTATACATTCACTTGAGATTCAAAATTTTTCTATTCCCAACTCTGATAAGCAGAATTTATAAAGTATCCTAATATCTTCATGTTAAAAATTTTTCTGGGTTTTAAACAATAAAATAGAATAGGCACTTCATAGAATTATTTTTTTTTATTAGTAAGATTACCTACGATGAGGGCATAGGGTAGAGGAAAGAGGCAGTCACTGAATGCAAAATGAGCAAGACTGATAAATCTTTTTCATGAGGCCTAACTGGAAAAGCATTTCATTTATGAGATTATAATCACAATGCAACTATTATGATGCTACATATCAAACTTAAGATATGGTATATACTTAAGACAAACCCTATAGATATAAATCTGGATTTATATTTTAAAATGCAATTTACTTTTCAAAAGGATCTTTTTTACAGAAGTTATAATAAATTTCTTTTAAGGCATTACTCTGATGAATTTAAAATTATTTAATTAACAAAACATCAATTTTAAAGCACTTTTTATAAACATACTAATAAAAATTTCCAGGAACCAGTATGAGGGAGCACACCTGTAATCCCAGCAACTCAGGAGACTGAGAAAGAAGGATGTCAAGTTTGAGGCCAGCCTCACCAATTAGTGAGACCCTGTCTCAAAATGGGGGGAAAAAAAAGAGCCAGGAGTGTACCTCAGTAGTAAAGCACCTCTGGGTTCAATCCCCCAGTACTGGAAAAAAAATCCACCACAAATGGTCTACCAGAAAAGTTGCTAAAATCAAAAAGACACATTAGTACCAAACATATTTTGACACCTTTTCAGACCTTGATAGGGATATCTTCACTGTCAAACATATTCCCTCATCAGAAATAGCATGACCTACATATCTTTTCTCTCATATGTAGAAGATAGAGAAGAATAAGAAAAAGAAAGGTGGGGAGGGAATAACTGGGAAATAATATTGGCTGAATTATAATATAATTGTATGTGTGTACAAATTTATAACAATAAATCCCACCATTATGTACAACTATAATTCGCCAGTAAAAATGGGGCTGGGGGAAGAGCAAGCAATGGCAATACTTAGAAGGTCTTCTTAACTGTTCAACTTCAGAAAAGTACCTCCCTGTCAGAACACAGTGGCATTCTGAAAATGGTAGTGAGAGGTTAAAAGTCTTTTCTCTGGTTCCTGGGTACAGAAGAAACAACAACCCCTTCATTTTAATCCCCCAAAGGACCAATTACACAACAGGCTTAGGCTGAATTCAATGTATGTTTTTAAAATAATTAAATTTCTGTTCAGGAGAGCAGCTATCCATAAAATCTCTAGATAAATATCCCTCCCCCTATTTTCTTCCTGAAGGAAATCAATTGTGAAAATGCATGAAGTTCTGATATATAATGTTCTGTTCTAGGTGGAGGTTAATGAATGTGGTAAACATTTGCTTACAATAATCTAACAATTCCATTTTAAAAGTAGTAATATTATATCTCTTCTTTAAAATATTTACTTAAAGGATGGCCAAAGAGAGCAATTTCGGTAATTTTCCCCCAATTTGTAGCATCTTTAAAATACCACTAAGCTGTTCATCTGCAACACATAAATTATCTATGGAAGGCATACTAGTTTAGGGGCTAGAGGGACAATTTGATTAAGAAATTAAGTCATAATTATATCAGTCCTGAATTTTATGCCATAAATACACTATAGAAAGACAGTTAAAAAAAAAGTGAAATGATGCTACCAGAATATTTCCAGAATTCCATGTTCTAATTCTCAAGCTATTCACTTTTGCAAGCCCCTCCTTCTTAATATAATTAAAAGACTCCAGAATAAACAAAAATTTATCTGCTCTTAAGACTAAATTATTCCTTCCCAAATAACAAATTTCTGAAAAAAATTAACATCTAACACTGAATGAAGAAACATAGTATTAATATGTGATTTTAAAAGCATAATGCTATAATGAGATCCAGAATTAATCCCAGTTCTAGGACAAACACCAGAGGGAAATTCATAGTGATAAAAGCCTATACACAGAAAAAATGAAAGATCTCAAAACAATCTAACTTAACACCTTAAGGAATTAAAAATTAACTAACCACAGAGTTAATAAAAGGAAGGAAATAACAAACATCAAAGCATAAATAAATATACTAGAAAAATAGAAGATCAACAAAACTAAAAGTTATTTTTTAAAAAAAGACAAATTGACAAATATTAAGTCAGACACTAAGGAAAAAAGAGAAGAATCAACATCAAACAGAAGAGAAATTACAACTGACCACATAGAACTACAAAGGACAATACAAACCTATTATGACCAATTATACATGAGCAAATCTAGAATGAATAAATTCCTAGAAACAGACAACTTACCAAAAACAAATCTTAAAGAAACAGACATCCCAACCCACCAATAAAAAGAAGGAAGACTAGGAGACTGAATCTGTACTCAAAATCTCCCATCAGTGAAAAGTCTAGGACCTGAGAGCTTCATGGGAAAATTCTACCAAACACTAAAAAAAACTATTTCAAAAAACCAGAATGAGAGAACTCTTTCAAATCATTTTATAAGGCCAACATTACTCTGATACCAAAGTCAGACAAAGAGAATTATAGGCCAATATCCCTGATGAACACAGGTGCAAAAATCCTGAACAAAATGCTAGCAAACTGAATTCAACAGCACATTAGAAGGATGTAAGGCTGGATAAACATATGCAAATCAGTAAGCATGGTATAACACATTAACAAAGTGAAGGTAAAAAAAAAACAAATGGTCACCTCAATAGATCTGGGAAAAGAACTTTACAAATTTCAAACTTTCCTCTAAAACCAGGAATAGGAAAAAGATGCCTGCTCTCACCACTACTATTCAACTTTTTATTATTAAAAGTCCTGGCCAGAGCAATTAGGCAAGAAAAACAAAAGGCATCCAAATTGGAAAGTAAAAACCAAAATTATCTGTTTGCTAATAATGTGATCTTATATACAAAAAACCATTATAGAGTCCACCAAAAAGAAAGAAAAAAGAGCTAGGCATAGTGGGGTACACCCGTAATCCCAGTGATCAGGTGGCTGAGACAGGAAGATTCCGAGTTCAAAGCCAGCCTCAGCAACAGCGAGGTGCTAAGCAACTCAGTGAAACCCTGTCTCTACATAAAATAACAAAATAGGCTGGGAATGTGGCTCAGTGGTTGTGTGCCCCTGAGTTCAATCCCCAGTGGCCCTCGAAAAAAGAAAAGAAAAAAGATGCTAAAAGTAGAAGAGAAACTATTAGGCAATGGGAAAGGGACCAGTTAGGGAATCAGGGGAAAAGGGAGGGTGGACATATAAATGCATGATGCATTCATGTATGGAAATGTCACAGTGAAACCAATTAACTTGTACAATTAATATGTATTAATAGGAGTCCACCAAAAGTAATTCAGTAAAATTATAGGGTACAAGACCGACATACCAAAATGAATGTGCCTCTCTATACATCAACAATAAACTATCAAAAAATTAACACCACATCCCATTTATAATAGCACTGAAAAACAAAAACAAAAAACCACCTAGGAATAAATTTAAACAAGGCAATGAAACACACTGAAAACTATAAAACAATGATGAAAGAAACTGAAGACAACACCAATAAATGGTTAGATACTCTGTGTTCATGGACCAGAAGAACTGATGTTATAAATGTCCATATTATCCAAAATGACCTATCAATTCAATGCAATCCTATTAAAATTCCAATGCTATTTTTCACCGAAACAGAAAAAAAATCTCAAATGTATATGGAACTACAAAAGATCCTAAGTAGCTAAAGCAATCTTGAACAACAACAAAGCTGGAGACATCACACTTCCTAATTTAAATTATATTATGAAGCCAGAGTAATCAAAACAATAAGATACTGACATAAAAACATACATACAAATCAATGGAAGATTATAGAAAGCTCAGAAATACATGCAAACATATAGTCAACTAATACTTGACACTGAGGAAAAGAGAGTCTCTTCGATAAATAGTGCTGAGAAAAGAGGATATCCGTATTCAATAAAATGGAACTGAATCCTTATCTTACAACATACATGAAAATCATCAAACCAACTAGATTGAAAACTTAAACATAACAGCTGAAACCATGTAACTCAAGAAAATACAGAGGGGAAAAACACTCCATAACACTGGCCTTAACAATGACTTTTCTGGGTATGACACCAAAAGTCCAGGCAATAAAGGCAAAAATAAACAAGTGGACTACATCAAACAAAAAAGTTTCTGACCAGCAAAGGAAACAATCAACAAAACAAAAAGGCAATCTACTGAATGGGAGAAGGTATTCACAAACCATTTATTAAAGAGCAGTATCAAAAATATAAGGAGCTCATACAACTCAATAGCAAAAAATAAACATCAAAAAACAACCTAATTAAAAAGTGGATAAAGAACCTAAACAGATTAATCTTCCAAAGATGACATGCAAATGGCTAAAAGGTATATGAAAAGGTGCTCAACAACACTAATGATCAGGGGAATACAATTCAAAACCACAATGAGGCATCACATAACCTGTTAGGAAGACTATTATCAAGATGTCAAAAGATGATGCATACTGGCAAGGATGGGAAGAGAGAAAGTTATACACTACTGGTGGGAATGTGTACTGGTACAATCATTATGGAAAAAACGGTATGAAAGTTTCTCAGAAAGTAAGCAATAAAACTATCAGATGACCTAGCAATTACATACACGTCAGAGTATTTATCCAAAGAAAATAAAAATCACTGTCTTAGCCTTAGATGGCACCCACCTGTAATCCCAGAGGCTCAGGAGGCTGAAACAAGAGTTCAAAGCCAGTCTTAGCAACAGCAAGGCGCTAAGCAACTCAGTAAGACCCTGTCTCTACATAAAATACAAAATAGGGCTGGGGATGTAGCACAGTGGTTGTGTCCCCCTAAGTTCAATACCCAGTAACCCCATACACAGAAAAAAAAAAAAAAAAAAACACTGTCTTGAAGAGTTATCTGCACTTTCATGCTCACTACACTATTTCACAATAGCCAGATTTGGAAACAACCTAAGTGTTGTGTTTCTTTCTTTCTTTTTTTTTTTTAAGAGAGGGAGAGACAAAGAGAGAGAGAATTTCAATATCTATTTTTTAGTTATCGGCGGACACAACATCCTTGTTTGTATGCGGTGCTGAGGATCGAACCCGGGCCACACGCATGCCAGGCGAATGCGCTACCACTTGAGCCACATCCCCAGCCCAAAGTGTTGTGTTTCTAATGAATGAATGGCTAAAGAATATGTGTGTAAACACACACATATACACACACAAATGAATTATTCAGGCTTTAAAAAGAAAATTTTGTCACTGGCAACAACCTAGATGAATATTATGTCCTGGAGGACATTATGCTAAATGATATTAAGCCAGACACAGAAAGACAAATACTGCATGACCATCACTTATATGTGCAATCTAAAAATCTTAACTCATAGAAATAGAGAGTAAAGGGATGGTTTCCAGACATCAGGGGATGGGTGAAAATAAGACATGTTGGTCTAAGGATACAAACTTTCAGTTATAAGATAAATAGATAAATTCTGGAGACCTAGTATAGAGTGATAATAGCTAATAATAATATATTTGCTATACACTTGAAATTTGCTGAGTAGATTATAAGTGTTCTTACTCCCCCCCCCCACACACACACACAATGCTAACTATGAGGTAATGGATATGTTAATTTGTGGTAACCATTTTACAATGTATTCATAGTATATCAAAACATCATTAAATACAATTTTTATTTTTTCAATTATATTTAAATAAAGGTAGAAAAAACTAATCCCAGTTCTAATCTTTAATCCTAATATGATAAAAATTGTTATTCTACTGGCAAACACTTCACTTTGCCCTAATGCCTAATATTTTATAAGTTCTTTAATGTAACTCTCAAATCTCCATATACTTCGTTTTATTAATAATATATATATAATAAAGAGTTATAACAATCAATGTTAACAATATCAGTGTTTTCCTTGCATTCACTTTTAAGAAAAGAAAAGCTTGTATCATTTGGCATAAAGGAAAAGAATAAATCTAGGGAAACATAACTTCAAATTCTTCTTTAAAGATGTAAACATGCCATTTAAATCCTCTCTATGAGTTCCATGATCGTAAAGGTTCATTTCTGCATTTCTTCAACAAATATTCACTGGAACTTTCCAAATGTAAGATTTTGAGGTACATAGGTATATAATACATAGTCTCTACCCTCAATGACCATGAATTAACTGAAGCAAAAGTCATTTAAATCCTGATGACAAATAGCACTCTCATTTCTAAACAAATATATTATAAGGCAATATTGGTCATTTTTATCAACAACATAAGAAATTCTATCATTAAAAACATGGTAGTGGGTTGTTAACAAATCCTACTGGTTCAGAGATTGAGATCTCTGGTTGTTAAGTGTGAATGATTCATGCTGGACCATCATACCTTCTTATGGAATAGACACTGCAAGAAATCCCTTAGAGTGTGTTGGGGATGTGGCTTGGTAGAAGAGAACTTGTCTAACATGTTGAGAGCTCTGAGTTCAATTCCCAACACCACAAAATAAAGAAATAGAACAAATTGGCCTGTACTTCCTGTACTTTATCTTATTTTTTTTCTCTTCCTAAATTAGAAAAAGCTTCTTTTTCCCACCTCTCCCCTCTTTTTTCCTACCCTTCAATAGACTTTAAAAAGGATTAGAGTTCTTTATCTAATGGAGATTTAGAAGTCAGCTTCACTGGTACCAACACTACACTAATCTTACCCAAGTGTAAGATTTTTTTCAATTCTATTTTTAGTGCTACTCTCTGTAATTCAAGGGTTTTGTTTTTTTTTTTTAAAAAAAGAAAAGGGTGGCACACCCATGTTAAGCTGTCATTCATCAGTATCCAAGTGGGCCTGGATCTAGGACCTGACTCTACCCCAAGAGATTAAAAAGTCCAGAGCTGCTCAAGTCTCTTATATAAAATGACACTGTATTGTATGTAAGTTATACAAACCTCCCATATACTTTAAATCATCTCTAGATTACTTAAAATACCTAATATAATGTAAACAGTTGTATAGGATGTATACTGTTCAGGGAATAATGTCCAAAGAATAATGTCCAGAAAAGTTATATGTTCAATACAGATACAACATTTCTGTGGAGGAGAGTAACATTTTCAATTCACCATTGGTTAAATGTATGAAGGCAGAACCCAAAAATATTGGGTGCCAACTTGTTAAGTTTACTGTTTATTGTTTTTCAATTCTATTTTTAATGCAAGCACCTGACAGTCCACACTTAGGCAGACATGGAGAAAGAGATTCACTCACTTCTTGATATCTCAAGGTTCCTGCCCTCTTTCTTTGCAGAAACAAATTCAAGAGTTGCAATCTCTTACACCTGCCATCTCTATTCTGTCTAGAAGATACTGCCTATTCAAACCCACTTAAGAGCCAGGCTGTAATAATGAAGCTGGAGAAACCTATCCCATCTAATCTGCAATCAACCCCAACACAGATTGGTCCAGGTAGGATCATACTGTTTCAAACATTTTCATACAAAAGAAAAAAGTCAGAATTTACCTTTCCTGTTTTAGCATGAGCTTATGTTTACTGCTTTCTACTCTAAGGCAGAACTGAGAGAAGGAAAAGGGCGTTTTCATTAAATTATTAACGTACTTACAACTTCAGATTTAAAGAGCTAGGCATATGAAAATAAATGCTTGACTTCATATCACCCCACATGACAAGAGGTGAGCATAACATGCCTCTGTATCATTCTTATAAACTGAAACTGTGGTGGAGTTGAGTCAACTCAATTCTTTACAGATACTAATGATAGACTCAACCTTATAGTAGTGGGTTTTCTTCAATTAAAAAAAAAATCTTATTTTACCATTGTTTATTTACCAAAATTAAGGCCACCAAACACTGAGTTTTTTTCAAATAGCCTGCCCAACTGACAAACATCACCAGGTGGGCAGGGAAGCACATTTCCCCTTTACAGCACCTCGAGTCAACTCCATGTTAACACAATGGAGTCAATAACTACACATTATTAAACTTACTCTCGGTACAAAACATTTCAGAAATGAATATACACTTCTGAAAACAACGACAATCAGTACACTTGAAAAACTCGGGATGGGGCCGGAGAGAGGAGATATTCCTTTTAAATTTGTCGTATGTGGTTAAGAGGAAATGTCCGATGATGTCATCCCTAGATACTCCCTAGTGATGAACACTAACTACTGGCCTTTAATAGGGGGACCATTTTCCTGCAAACCCATGGCGGTCACCGAGCTTTGCTCAACGGTTTTCCAGGCGAAGTTAAGGCAAACAAACCCGGCAGGGGAGCGAGCCGCGGCCCCCAACCCGACTCCCGGGCCGCGAACCGCGGGGCCTGGCAGGAAGCGAAGGGCCTAGGAGCGGCCCGCTGCACCTGCTCCTCGCGCCGCCGACCGCCCAGGGGCGGACCCGGGCCGAAGAGCGGGTGTTCCCCATCCAGGCCCGGTTCGGCTCCGGGCCCCCCGGCCGCCTCCCCGCCCCCCACCTCGCCCCGGCCCCTGGAGGAAAAGACAATACATTTTAACGCCATTGGAGCTACTGCTGTGCTGCGGAGGCTGCTTCTCCGGCTCCGGGGGGAGCGATTCTCGCCGCGGTTCACCCTGAGACTCTGCGGGGAGCTGATGAGGGCTGTCGTCGCCAGCGGCCCCGACCACCTCGGGCTTGTCAGCGTCCGCCATCCCGCCGCCGCTGGCTCCGCCTCGGCCGCCTGCGCTGAGGGGCTCCGAACGCGACAATGGCGGCGGCCGGGGAAGCGGTAACGGATCCCGATTTGAAAAGGCCCCGAGCGCTCAGTTGCCCGGATCTCGCGAGATCCGGTCGAGGCTGGGCGACTGGGAGATAGTGTGAGCTGGGTGCGGGGGGTGGGAGTGCGGTGGGGGAGGGGAGGATGAGAGAGGAGGTTGGAACCCGGGTCTGGGACGCCTTCGCTGCCTCGACCCTGCACTAGCAGGAAGGGATTGACCAGTCCCGAAGCCCCTAAGGAAGTAAGTTCTGACCACCATCCCCCTTATCACCTGGCACCCAATGGGGTCTTCGCTTACAAAACCGATTTAGAAGTCTCTGAACCTTGACACCCAGATTATTCAATTCATTCCAGTAGGGGAAGTTTAATTAGAAAAGCACACACCTTACCATATCTAAAGACATCTGCATATCTTCAGACCCCTTTGGAAGTCCTTTGAATGATGCAAATAAATCACTTATCATTTCAATACCCAGGCACGCTGTGGATATTCAATATGTAATTATTGGTGACTGATTGCAATTCACCAAATTGAATGGCTTTCAATTTCTTTGAGGATTGGTTGTTCTTGTGAGAAAAAAAAAAAAAAAAATCTTTGGAACTCAGTTTTCAGTTTAGAATAAGATTGAAGTAGTTTTTTGGTTTGGTGTTTGCTTTTTTTTTTTTTTTTTTTTTTAATTCTCTGGGCGGTGATCAATGGGAGGAATCCATAATTTTCGTAAGAAATCTTCTACTACATTGGCTGATAATGGACATTTGGGGTTTGGGTTATGTGTTTATTATATGCTGTTGGAAATTATATGTGAAGCACTTATAGGCTCTCAAATCTAATTATCATGTGAGATTTTAAAATATAGTCATAGATTTTTCCCCCTAAGTATGAGAAAAACCCATTAAACTTAACTCCTAACTCTTGAGTACTATAATTATATTTCACACTAAAATAACCTTTTTCCACTGAAAAGTTCAAAGACATTCCCAAACATTTCCTTTCATAAAGGAACAAACATACAGTTTGTGTGCCTTGCAAAATATTACACACACATTATCGATGAAGTTGTAGCTAGAAACTAATATGCAACACTTAATTTCCTCAATAGATAGGTACCTGCCCTCTACCCCCCCAAAAAATACAATTAAACATCAGATCCTATTCCTGAAGTTCCCACTAAAAATTGTTTTCCTTTACAATTTCACAAAATGTATTCTGGTACAGTGTCACCTAACAATTTGGTTTTCTTTCTTACAAATTGGAATGTGTGTTTATGAGAGAGGGAGGGAAGGAAGGAAAGAGAGAGACACCATGGCATTGATCAAGAAATTTAACCCTAAAATTCCAAAATCTTTTCAGTTCATACCTTAATATATGCATCATTTAGGATTTATGTGTTCACCTGCTAGTAACAGTGACTGGAAACAAAAGTTTCTTAAACAAGATACACTTTATTACTCTCTGTAGTAAAAAAGAAGTGCAGAGGGAGCACCCCAGGGAAGGTATAACAGCTCCATAGTCATCATGGACTCAGGTTCCTACTTTCTTCCTCTTCCACCATTCTCTTGCAAACCTCCCATTATTAAGTTCGTGCCATGATCCAAGATGGCTACTGGAGATGCAGGCACCTTGTCTGTATTGTAGGTCAGAAATTGTCCAAAAAAAAGAAGAAAGCATCTTATTTAGAAGTCAAACATAGCACTTCCAGTGATGGACTGGAATGTAGTCACATGACACATTCAGCTATAGGGGAGGTTGGCAAACAGTTTTGTGGCAAGGCTCCTAAAGCTTTAAAAAGACTTTACAATTTTTAAAAATACTATGGGGTATATTGAACTCCATTTGGATTTCCTTTTTTTCTAAGAAGTTTATTTATTCTATGATGAAAATGTGGATGTTAGCTATTGAAAAAATAACAACAATAGATAGAAAAATCTTATCTTATTCTGACAATCAAATCTCTCTTTTCTCTGTCTTTTCCTCATCCCACCACCACCACACTGCTTAATTTAGGAGGTTTTTTTTTTTCAACATTCAGTATTCCAAAAATGCATCCTAAAGAAAGGTCTCTATCAGCCAAATGATTTTAGAATTAAGACAATCATCTGAATGATCTGGGCTAAAGCCACTTTCACTTCAATTATTCAAGTACTTCAGATGATCCCAAGGTTACTGCTTGAATTCTTTAGGTTATTACTTTGTTTTCAGATTTATAATCCTCGCATCATTATCCAGTAATAGATTCACATTTGATTTTTGTAAGCAATAATAGTATATATTTTTTTCTTTGAAGATGAAGGACTACATAATTCCTAGATATTTATTTGAGTCTCCATTTTTTAACTACTTTCTAATTTCCTAGCTTAAAAAACCCTGCCTTTTTCTCAGTCTCACCTTAGTAACACAATTAACAGGCAGATTAGAAGAATAAATTTCTAAGAACCCTGCTCTATTTCTCTTCCTATGTAGCTACTGCCCTCCTCCTTAGTAATCCTTGAATTGAATATTTTCTGTTCAAAGTCATGGATATTGCAGCAGCATTTTTAAACTATCTTCAGTTTAGTATCCCAACTCAAAGAGTATTAAGATTTTGCTTTATGTCAAATATTGTTTTTAACCTAAATAATTACACATCTTAGCAACATTATTCTCTATTTTCAATTATAATATTTGAGAAAAAATAGGTTTCTTAAAGTGATGAATTAATAGGGTTTAACCTACATACATTCTGCATATTTGAAAATAATCCTATATGATGATGACAGAGAAAATAACAGACACACTCCGTCTTCCCCATTTTATGTGGTGATTGGAAACCAATTTATAAGTGGTGATGAATATTATTAAACTCCATGTTTCTTACCTTCACTTGCCCATGTGACAATTGTTCTTGCCAACAAGATATAAGCAGAAATGTTGTGAGGACCATGTAGGAGATTCCTTAAAAGAAACTGACTTAGCTTTTAAGAACAACTCCTTCTCCTCCTTTGCCTCCTCCTGCTGTTAGCTTAGAGTAGAGAAATGATGTCTATAAGCAACAGCAACCAGGTTGAACCATGAAGTAAACTTGTAATGGAAAGCTATGCTACTGATGGTAGAGGAAAATAGAATCCATGAAGCCACAGTAACAACCCTGACATTTTTATCCCCAACTGGTTTTCGCTCTGGATGCAGGGTTTTTCTATTATACACAGCTGAACTTAATGCTGATGACCATCATTTTTAATCGAAATGATTGACTTGCTTAAAAGTCTCTTCTATACTATGTCAAACAAATACTACTTTTTAAAAGTCAGGTGTAGTGATGCATGCCTGTAAGTTCAGTAACTGGGGAGGTTAAGGCAAGAGGATCACAAGTTCGAACCCAGCCTAAGCAACTTATTGAGGCCCTGTCTCAAAATAAAAAGTAAAAAGGACTGGGATGTAGCTCAGTAGTAAAGTGCCCAATCCCTACTACCAAGAAAAAAAGAAAAGAAAAATGTCCTGAAGACATCATTTACATTTGTTTTTGTTTGCTCCTTTGCTTTATGCTGTAGAACACTACAATATTTTTTTTTTGTCTGATATCCATTTTTCTTATTTTCCTTACTAACAGAACCACAATTTTGTTTAGGGTAGAAATGTGCCTAGCTGAAATACCAGTAGTGACCACAAGACACAAATCTAATGAGTTTTAAGGAGTATTATACTAGGGATTCTGGAAGGTGTTTGCTTTCTGAATAAGTTCTTTTTTTTTTAAGAGATAGGAGAGAGAGAGAAAATTTTTTAATATTTATTTTTTTGTTTTCGGTGGACACAACATCTTTATTTTATTTTTATGTGGTGCTGAGGATCGAACCCAGCGCCCCACGCATGCCAGGCAAGCACGCTACCACTTGAGCCACATCCCCAGCCCTCTGTATAAGTTCCTTGCCTGCCTGCCTGCTTCCTATGAGGTCCAAAGATGGATAATACATCTTGAAACCTTGAGTCAACCAGTATAAGGACAAACAAGCTAAGGATGACAGAGAGGAAGGTAAGAAACTGAAAAACTGATGACATCAAAGAGTGCATCAGTCCTGGACTGCCCATAACCAAACTTCATGTTTGGTAAGAAAAATGACCCCCATTGCCTTTAGGCAATGCTGTTGGATTTCTGTTATTTCAATTCAAAAAAAAAATAGTTTATTATGCAAACAGAAATCAGTTTGCAAACTGGGAGATCTCAAACTGAAAATGGTAAGAGGAAATCAGAGGCATAGCATTACAGGCTGGTTTATAAAAACAAATGAGAAAAAGGTTTTGTTATTTCAATTCCAAGAAAAGTGAACCTTTTGCACTATTGCAGCCCTTTTCAGCAAGGACTGCACCATTCCTGATGGCTGCTTATCAGCCTAGATTTTGGAAGTAGTGGTTTTTCAATAGTATAAAAATGTTATTTATTTTGTCATAATATATTGCAGAAGTACAGACTGAAGAAATTCATGTCAATATACTTCAATTCACAAACTGTTAAAAAGTGTTGAAAGTATATGCTATACATATAATACATATAGAAACAAACTTGATAACATATTTTCTTTTTTTTACTTCTAACTTTTTAAGTAGTCAGAGATGGGGGTTGCCCTTAAATTCAATCAAACATTTATGCATTTTATGTGAGAAAGGATTCAATGCACAATGTTTTAAAGATTTTTATAACAATTAGACTGGGTGAACCACAGTCTAGGAGTTATTGCTTGATTTTTAAAAATTTACAAAATACAGGACTCACAAGGAACCAGCAACATCAATTCATGTGACCAGCAGCAGCAAGGTAGGTCTCAGGACTCCTGATATCCAGAAAAGGCTGGCAGAATGGTCCCATCTGCCATTTGCTGATACCCACAAAGTTACCTGTGGCTCCTGCTGAGATTATTGGTTTCTCCTTCTCTTCTTCCTCCCAAATTTTGCAACAGTATCTATCATTGGCAGAATTTAGGTTGGAATACAATTAATAACAGATTTTGAGAAAGGTCTCATAAGAGAGAAAGCTTGGAAGTGTAAGGATGATGTTGAGTATCAAGAGTTAACATATGGCATAGTT